GAAGAAAACGGTGATACATATCGTTAAAAAATTCCTTTGGTCTAGAAATGGCCGGATCCTTCATTTCAAACAGCAGACGTGGGTAATGCTGACCAATCCTAAGTTCATCATCAAGACTTGGATACCGCACCTCAAACTCTCGATAATTCCATGAGGTGGGATTTTCATGACGTAATGACATGCCAAGCCTTAGGACACGCATCTCGGCCTCCAACGCCTCACGGAGCTCCGTTCGCGTGGTGTGGTTCCAAATCAACTCGGGTCGCAAGTGATCCCGTTTGATTTCGTAGAAAAACATGGGCCAGTTCAATGTTGTTTTCACCTTCACATGCCTGGGACGCTTGAAAACTCCGTCACCCTGTGACGGGGACGAATTCTGAGCCGCACCCTTCGACAACACTTCACTTGGATGAAATCGTTTTTTAAACCATCCAAGTTTGGACTCCCAAAAGGCACTCGTCATGGGCACGACGTTTCTCTGGCGTTCCTCCTCCATCTCATCCTTTGGAGGCTCTTCGGAGGATTGAAGATAATACAGCAGTGCCGGGGGAAATATGGTCCGCATGAGATCCTGCATATCCGTGTTTTCATAGGTCCAGTACGCAATGAGTTGACGGGCAAGATCGCGTAATTCACGGTTCTTACTAAATATCGCTAAGTGCAGCTGTCCAATGATCCCACCCTCGCTAAGAGCGGCCAGTTGCAAGGCACGAAACTGCTCACCTGTTCCCTCTTCCATGATAACACGGATTAATTGTCCAGCGCTGTAGCTGATGGCATTGCATCCATGCTGCATCAGTAAAAAAAGCTCCTTCCCCGTAGTATCAACCAAATCTTTCATAACGGAAGTAAATAACATGGCCTCTGTGCTCTCACAGTAGGGAGGGCACAATGCGTAAACAAAAAAATCCAACAAGGCCTGCACAACCAGGGCGGCGCTATCAGTTGTGGCGTAGTCTCGTAGCATCCGGAGTAGACGAATTACGAGTTGCTCTTGTCCAAGAATGTAATTTTTATTCGCCTCTTCATGGGCCAACTCATAGTGGTCGTGATGTGGCGTCATGAGAGTTCCAAGTAAGTCGACTACTGAATGAGAAACTGCAACGTGGTTCATTTTTAAAGCCTTCATACTTACATCCTCAATATTCTTCATAAAAGACGGTACAACGGCAACCGAGCTGAACCCAATGCGTGCGACACAAAGTCTTCGAAGAGCATAAAATTGTTGCACCACGACCAACGGATCATCTGTCACTGGAAAGTTATTTAACAACGCCGCGAGTCCACTAAAAATCATTTTTTCCCTATTTTCCGCAAAGAGTCCTTCACGATTCTCCGAAAGGCGAAGGCCGCTGTACTCAATGTTGGCGTTAAAAAACTCCACCACCTCGGGGAAAGTCATGGCAATCGGACCACCGCCCTTGCTGGGATCAATCAGACAGTTCAGTAATGTACTCTCGATTTCCTCCGGGATTGGTGTGCGGCATGGCGCTGCACGCTTTCCACGATCAAATAGATTTGCAATGACACAGACGTTAAGATTGCGGGATGCGCGGCAGCAATCCACGAGATGGGCCAGCAGCGCATCCCGCATGGGGGATGTGTACACCTTCGTAATCGCTGGTTCCTTAAATTGAATCATCAGCCGTTGGTCATCCTCTTCCGAGCGAATAAGTGCATAAATGTCGGCAAAAAAGAATGCACTGACGGGGTTATACGTGGCAGCATCCAACTCCAAAAGATATTTTTGTGTTGTCGCTAAAATACGACGCATGGGAGTATCGGGGTGTTTCAAACTCCACTTTGACACGGGGAACTTCGCCAGGGATACCATTTCCGCTCGATCCACGCCGAGGCGGTCCGAGTCAAACTGCTGCTGAGTTAATCGCCGCACCTCACGCAAGGGTGGAAGACCGATGAACCGCCTCGAAAACTCCTCGATCAGTGTTGCCACTCTCTGGCAATCTTCCATTTCATACAGATGCATCTTCAACTGGGGGCCATACAACAAGATAAGAGTGCGTGGGTTGGCAAGAATAGAAGTGAGTCCTTTAATGTGCATAAAAAGATACTCCCCCACAACATTTCCTTCGGGACTCAATTGCTCCACGGCAATACTTGTGATGCGAAGACGACAGTTTCGATATTCTTCATAAAAACTGTACTTGCGGGCATCAAACACATGGTTGAAAACCTGTTGCCTGTACCTCGCATCGAACCTTGCGCGGTTTCGCTGCACATCCGTAAGCAACTCCGCGCGCTCCATGGCAGTGTTGCAATGAAAGCTCATCGTTTCTGGTTTGCCTATCTTGCCTATGGTCACTGTGAAGTCCGTCGGACTGCCTGGAGTGGCCACAACATCCACGAGGTGACTATTATATTCCCAGTTGTTGGTGACACGAAAGATACTTTGCGGGTTGATTGTTGCAACCTGTCGAGGCCCGATACAAAATATGCGCATGTACTTCCCTTTCCACGAATTCTTGACAACCGTGTAGCGGGAGGTGTATTCCTCAAACGGCTTACGTCTTGCTGCCTCACACCCCGCCAGCTGTGGCACACCCAGCACGACCTCGTCCATTTACCGATACTACGTGCTGGCAGTTGTAAAAAAAAAAAAAAAGAAAAAAAAACACAAAAAAGAAATTCCACTCTCTACAGAAAACCAAATGGGTGAGAAAGACAGACATCGGTAAAAAAAAAAAAAACCTAAGAACGAGAGAAAAACAAGGAGCCTTTTTATTTCGAAAGGTATAAATGCAAAGAAATTGTGAGAAATATTTTTAAAAATGTTATCTCCATTTAAACGCCTAAAATGTTTTTGGCGCCAAGATGCGTGAGACAGACGCTGAATAAGCAATCCAATGCGGGTGGGAAATCCCAACGGGCCCTTCCTCTATACCCTCCTTTTTTCTGTCTCCGCATCAACGCCGCCCTGCATGTACTTTGTGGATCGCTACGGCTGTCGCCGCCGCAAATGCGGACACAAAACAGGCGACGACACTCAGAGAGTTCCAGTTGATTTGGCGAGCAGTCATTGTTGACTTCGCCAAAAGTCGTTCGCAGCGGCGGCGCAGCACTCGGCCCACCACACTGTACTTTGTGGTTGACATGATGACAACAGTGACAGTTTCCCCCAATCTGGCTTCTTGAGGGTCGACAAGAACCTGCACGTAGGCCTTTGTATGCCCAACGAGATGGTGCTTGTCATGTGCTGTTTCCAGAAGAGCGACGGAATGCACCTCGCCTACCATTTGGTCAAGCGTTCGATAAGAATTGAAAAATTCCGTGAGCTCAGACGTGCGCCGCTTTGCCACATCGGTTGGGATTTGCTTCATTGACGCCGCAGGTGTGTTTCGACGCGGGTAAAAACGGGTAATGTTCAAAACAGGAAAGCGGACGTGGTCACAGAGCTCCATGGTCTCACGCCACTCTGCCTCACCTTCACCTGGGAAGGCACAAATAATGTCCGTGGCAAGCGTCACATTTGGCACAACGCTGCGTATGCGATGCACACACTCGTAGAACTCTTCTAAAGTATATTCCCGCTGCATCGCGTTCAAAATACGATTGGATCCAGATTGTATGGGAATATGCACAAACTCATATACATTTGGATGCCTAAGAAGCGCCGCGAAATCATCTAAGTGTCGTAGGAGGTACGGTGGGTTGCTCATTCCTACACGCATCATGACTTCTGTGCCTTGAATTTCCTTTACAATGGCACGCAAGAGAGAAACAATATCCGTGTTAATGTCAATGCCGTAAGCCCCAACATCCTCGGAGGTGATACGAATTTCCTTTACTCCCTCCTTCAGAACAGAACGAACCCGCGAAACGATAGACTCGATGGGCCAACTCCGCAAATCTCCACGAGCCTGCTTTGTTTTACAATATGTGCAATGATTCAGGCAACCAACACTAATGGGAATAATTTCTATAAATCGATTACGTCTGATCTTTGGAAGATCCAGCGGTGGAAGTTCATTGGGATCTTGTTTATTGTTCGCATGTTCATTCACCCCAATAAGTCGCACACAGTGGCCCTGCAGAGCTTCATGAATGACTTCACCAACGCGATCAATGTTGCGGACACCAATAACACTCACATCATCCCACTGTGTGTTTCTCGGGTCCGCCTGTGGCACACATCCAGCGACAACAAGTGGCTTACCCGTGGCACGCACGCGATTCATCATGCTGATGAAGTGCTCTTCGCTCGGGTTTTTGACGGTACAAGAGTTCAGGAGATACACATCGGCGCCATTAAAGACGTCGGTTACACGGTAGCCGGCCTGCGCAAGAAGCCCCGCCATGTATTCGCCGTCACTGACATTGTGGCTGCAGCCAAATGTGTGTATAAACACGGTTGCGTTGCTCGGGATGCCGTCGCCGTAGTCCTGGCTCTGTGCGGGTGGCCATTTACGCCGACGGGCATTCACAAAAGCCAGGCGTTCAGCTGCCGCAACGGGCGCAGCGCCGACGTTGAAGGCATCCTCCATATCCGCCGCCTCCATTCTTCTCTCCTTTGCCCGCTTTTTACCCTTCCGCCTCCAATTTCAGGTGTATATTTAATACTGCGCTACCCCACCAGAAAAAAAAAAAAAAAAAAAAAAAGGCAAAGCGTAGCAGAAATAAACCAGTGGCAGCAACGGGAATATATATTATATTATATAACAAACAAAAAAAGAGAAATAAACATCGCAAAATCAGAAACACCAAAGCAACCTCATCTATTTTGCACGCGGAACAAAACTCCACATCATTAATTTGTCGCCGCAGCTGCTATGCAGACTCCACAGTAGGCTCTGGACACCTTAAACAAGGCGACAAAGAGGGAGTGAATCCCTGAATGAATAAATAGACAACAAAGCACGGGGATTCATCATATTCTTTTGAGCTTTTCACTTTTTATGTTTTATGCTCACCGTATCCTCAGCCTTCGTCAGTGCGCGTGTTTATTATTATTTTCTTCTTCCCTTCCCCTGCTCTATTCGATTGCTTCTGCGGGGGAAATTCACGACGGCGCCGTCTCCTCCTTCTCTAGATTAAAGTAAAGCTTCAGAATAAAACCTGCCATGATGAAGAAAACGTCCGCCACAAGAATTAAAATCAAAAAAACGTCTGAGCCTAAAATGAAAAGACAAAACCGCCTCGTCTTAATATACGCCAATTGCTGCAGGAGAGCATCACTCTTGGCGATGAAGCAAATAAGAAGCTGACCCGATGCATTTTGCCTTTCTGCGAGTTGATAATAATCATCCAACCACGGCATTTCCCACAAAAATTCAGGTGAATCACGTAGGGCCATGATGGCTGAGCGTGCCAGTTGGATTTCCCCCTCACGGTGCGCAATGTGGTGTCGCATCGAAAAATAATCAAAAAGACTTTTGATATCGGAAGGGATCGCCAACACCTGTTTTTGCAAATGATGCGTCATGTTATCGAAAAAGTCGACCACGGCGGTACGACCGAGGGAGTAGGAAACTGTGAGCATAATTTGTGTGCGGAGGGGCTTGACAACAGGAATGAGATAGTGGTCAAAGCAGAGATGGGTACCAAAGCGTTCAAGGGCCTCTTCCCTGCGAGAGGGCGTACTCGAGTCGTAGTGCTCATCCAACTCGTAGGAGCACCAGAACGGGAACAAGTCGTCAATCGCTTTCTGAGCATGGCGTTCTTTCACCCCCTCCCGCACGAAGGAGTTGACGGAGGACAAAAAATCGTCTTCCACCAGCCAATGATCTCGTCGATTCAACCCCCACCATACCACCACACCATTTGGAAACAGGAACATGTCAAAAATACGATGAGAAGAGACGTGAAGAACTTCATAAATAAGAGCTGTATCATATCCGCGGCGTTTATAGATCGCAGAAAGAGCGTCCAGATCAAAAGCCGAGGCCACATAACTATAGCTGATGCTCCCTATTTTGTTGGGGATGGAACAGTGCCCACGTTGACCACGTACTTTACGACGGCCTTTTGCCGTTTTCAAGGGACGACGTAGCGTCACACGGTCGTCTATTGGGGATACGGCAAATATGGACTGATAACCTTGCAGGTATTCCAGGACGCTACCATTCGTCGCCTCAAATTGCTCCTCCCACTGCAGAGCATTGTGGATTTCTTGAAGAGTTACACTGGCAGAAGCACTATTTACAATTACATTAATGATAAGATTGCGGGGATCTTCAGGAACTTCATATTTCATCCGCTCCATGTTGGTACTAACAGGTTCCGGGTTATTATCCACAAAACGAGCTTGTTTTTTGTCAGATTTTTCGTCGCTTTGATCGTGCATCTCTACCTCCACCGCCTCTGCTTTTGGCGTGGCACAACTTTTCTCATTCGCCGAAGGGGTTGACGTTTCTGGTGTTTTAAAAGAGGAAGAAGCGCGATCCTCATCTGCATCCGCATCCGTGCCAGAATGCCGCTGCGTCTGTTGCTGCGGATTCAATAATTGAGTATACTCATCGCGGTATTGCATTCGGGAGAGCCGCCCCTGTTCACCATGCGCATACCACTCCTTCAAAGATACACTGGGGGGACTCGAAGTTTCAGAAGGAAAATCTCGTGTGACAGAGACGCTTTCGTATACATGAGGGTTGTGGTAGAGATCTTTCCGTTTGGCACGACCGAACCCATCAAATGAAGTATCGCTGTAAACGGAGTCGTGAAGAAGCGGAAAGCTGTCTTCCGCGCGAACGAGAGTCATTAGTTCTTGTGCCTCATCGGCCTCCCCGCTGCCGGCTCGGCTGTAGGAACCTCCTTCACTCCGGTTGGAGTTCATCTGTGACCAAACATGAGATGTCCGCTCTTGCTGTCGCGTATGCTCAAAGCTCCGGCTCTGGGAGCTGCCGCAGGAGTCTGAGGCGTCATCGGACCCACGTCTCCTGTCCATGCGCACAGTGGCTGCAAATGGGGTAAATCCCGGACTGCACGGCGCAAAGGAAGACACACACACAAAAAAAAAAAAAAAAAAGGAGTTGGACAGAAACATCACACATGCGCACAGAGAAGAAAGAAAGGCAGCCACGCAACAAGAAGGAAAAGAACAACAACAAACAAATGCAGTGAATAAACCAAAAAAAAAAAAAAAAAAAAAAAAAAAAAATGAGGTTTCTCGGAGGGCGAAAAACCTCAAAAAAGAACCATAAACACACAAGCAACACACACCCCAGAGAAGGAGCAAAACCCCATGTTTCTTCCCCTTCTTCCTCCTTCCCACCATTTTTCATACGCAGCCCAATCAGAAGAGTCAAGCCGCTTCTCACACCCCGCAGTAAAACACCAACTTTTTGCTAACGATGGGGAAAACAAGCGAGGGACAGAGCCTTCTACAGTCAAATATACCCACGGATTCTCAGCTACATTAACAACCATATATATATATATATATATATCGCTTCCGCATCAAATAACCCTTCCTCAATCATTTACTAAGACTCATTCTATCACCAAAGTCCAACCCAAAAAACAAACAAAAGAAACAGACACGATAACCCCTCTTCAGTAATCCTAACCCCCTTTCCCCACCCAATTTCCCATTCACCCGTTGAAAACTATTCATACGCCATTCGATCTGCATCAAGAGTGATCCTCCCCCCACGCTACCCCCTATCCCAGTCGCTACAACGCAAAAACAAAAAAAAAAAAACAAAAAAAAAAAAAAACAAAAAACAAAACAAGAACGAGAACAAAACACGAGGATGGGAAAGATGAAAAAGCGCATTCATCACATCCCTTTTGTGTGCTCTTCCAAACGACAGACACAGAACCCCTTGTTTAGTATCCAAACCCTACGCGAGTGCCGTGATGTGGCGCTATGATGGGCTGCAAAAGGGAAAAGACACCAAAGCTAACAGCCATCATTGGCATCTCTTTTTTTAATGTCGGTAGAAGACCACGGCATATGGCAGAGTCATGAATGACAGTCTGCTTATAGGTATGTGCAGATAACGGGTAACAGACCGTTGAAGCCACACCAGCGGCAACACCGCCGACCACTGTATTGACACAAGCCACGGCGGCGTAATTGCCAAGTTCAAACACATCTTTCCCATTTTTATCCTTCTCTACGTTAATGGAGAGAAGTCTATTGCGTTCGCAGAAACGGCGAAGACCCTCAAAGACGGTCAAAAGTGTCCCAAAATAAATGGCGTTGGCCATAAGCGGTGGCGTCGTGTAAAAAAACTGAAGCACCGTCTTACTTTTAAATATTTGGCACGTTTTCAGAAAAGAATCACCCGTACGAAGACACTCATCTCGTACACGATTGACAGGACTACAGATAAGACGCATGACAAAACCCGCAAACGCCCCAATGATGAATGTTGTGAATGCCTTCAACGGCGGTTCTCGTTCGGTACCTGGCAATAACTGCGAGGCCAATGGGACATACACCCACATAAGAATGCCAAATTGCGGGATGCGTCGATAACAGGCCTGTGCAGGTCCTTTTATGCCTCCGTGATCAAACGGAATTGCCGCGGCACGTCCCGCTAGTCCTGCTAATCCTCCACTGAGGAAGACATACGGATCCGTCAGGATAATGGCACTGCGTCTCTCAATCTTACGCAGACGATCCAAAGTCCATGTGATTCCAGTGAAGAAGAGAGTGAAACACATGGATGCAACCAAAAACTACAGCGCCTGCTTGCAATTCCCCCAATTTTCCTATGCTACAAAAAAACAAAGGAAAGCGAGCAGGAAAACTCTACTCCCGCCTCGCAATTGTCCACCGCGCCCCAAAAAGACAAAAAGACAAAAATAAAATAAAATAAAAAAAAGAAAAAAGCCCGTACCTCCTCCCCAACGGGTTCTACGTCTCCTTTAGGGTCTCTTCCCTTAAATTGGTGAGCGCTGCAAAAACCCGCTCCGTATTTCCTCCACGCTGACTTTTATTGTCGGCCTTTAACGCTCGTTAATAATTTCGACAAAAAAAAGACAAAAGAAATAAGAGAAAAACAAACAAACAAAGGAACGAGCGTCATCACAAAATAATGCGGACCTTCAAAGTAAAAGATGAAGAGATTATTAAGCACATCCTGTTCTCCTTCCTCCGCTGCCCCTGCATCTGCCACATACCAAGACACAACCTAATCGCAACGTCAGCCATATATGCCTTCATATGGACCGTGTATATCAGGCGAGTCCTCTTACTGTGTGGCTGCCAGCCTTGCAAAAGCTTTGATCACACACACAAAGAGAAACTTGGAGGAAACAAACAAAAAAAACACGCTCCTACCTCTCCTCTTGAGTCAAAACTCCCTCTCTTCTTCACCATCTTCTCCACCCCAAGAAGTGAAAGAAAGAAAAAGAGAGAGAGAGAGAGAGAGAGAAGAAACCACGTGTATGTTTGCGTTCATTTTAAAAATGTGGGAAACATTATTACTTATTTAGTTTATCTTACCTTCTCCATCGTATCCCTTTGGATGCAGTTTGTTAGTTCGCAGATTCACTTTGAGCAGGTGGTCCTGATATTCGCCATTCTGCCTCCTTAAAATTCTTTGCGCCTCCTTATTTTGCACACGCAACACCTCCTGGCATTCTTTCCGTGCCACTGCCATGGCCTCCTTGTCAGCCGCAAGTATAGCCCGGCGCTTTTCGGATTGTGTTTCACTTTCCTTCTTTCTTGGTCGAGGCAGCCCTCTCTCCCTTCGTTGAACGACGCGCCCAGAGTCACGAAGAGCCAAATTGGCGGTGTTGGGGGCTAATAGATCAACACAATCGGCGTCACCAAGGCTGGTATTGTAGAATTCCTCGTACTCAGGACCAAGTATGATGCGCTCATGATTCTTCTCTCGCATGTGTGCTCTCAGAGCCTCTAGAGAGGCAAACATTTTTGTTTTTTCACCACAAACAAGACACAACAGACCATTTGTTTTGCGAGCGAGGTACGCCAGCAGTCCTACTACGTCACGGCACCTGTGTTTAAGCGGAACAACAAACTCATGGATGGTGTTCATGTGCTGCAGGTTGGCTTCCACGTTATCCGACAGGGCACCACAAAAGAGGCAGCGCACTTCACTCACGTCTTCCTCCCGTTCATCCAGGCCAACCTTCAACAAATTCTTGGGTTTTGTTGCTTGAGCGGGCTGCTTTGCGCACTTCGCATTGTGACGGCGATGCAAGCCCATTGCAGCGCTTCCCAACGAGGTACTTGTAATAGCGCTCAATGCATCCGAGTCACGTGCAATGATGCGTTGCTCCTTCTTCATAAGATGTGCCGTCGAGCGAACATGAGCCTGGAGGGTCTGCACAGAATGAAATGTCTTTTTGCACAATTTGCAAGCAAAGGTCGGCTTCCCATCTTTGTCCACATCGTCTTGCTCCGCAATTCGGACACGTCTGTGCTCCTGTGCGGTCAGTGGGCGCCGGCCCTCAACGCGCAGGCGAACATTGTTCAAGTGGTAGTCGGACTCATAGTGCTTACGCACTGCCTCAACAGAGTCAAATGTGAAATTGCATGTCCCGCAACGCGGTACGGGGGCGGACATCCACAATCACCTAAAATGTACGTGTGCAATACTACCAATCTATATCTACCTATATGGATAATATGCCTCTTTTGAAAATGAAAAATGTAAAAAGGAAAAAGCAACTCTGTGAACTTGAGGGATAGTCAAAGGTCCATAGCAGGTGGTAATGTTTTTTCCCCTGTTTCCGCGTCCTGCAATAACAAGGCAACCGAACACTCATGTAAATCGACACACACACACACACACACGGAATAATGAACTCGTGATGAGGGAAAAGGAGCAAAGAAACAACGTAGAATTAAATCCTATGTTTATATTTACGCGGTTGAATGTCATTGACGTGTCGTCCATCGTCATGGCATCCCAATCCCCATCTTTCACTATAAGAAACACACACACACACACATACACATTTATTTATATAAAACTAAAGGTTTTTTTTTTTTGTAATTGTTGTTTCTTTTTACTGAACACTGCTAAATGTCACGCAATTTTGTTAACACAAACGAAGAATAAACACTCTTTCAATCATTACATAATTCCTCCTGTAACATTTTATAAAACAAACAAAATAAAGAGAGAGAAATGCCCAATCAAACCGTCATAACTAAACCTGAACAATATCATCCAACGGCCCCACAGGGGACGGGTGGCGAAGCAAACAAGAAGCCTCCTCTGACACACATGAAATCCAGCGAAAGAATCTTGAGCAGCAGCCCCCACGGCCCCATCGCATTTGTCGACGCATCTGATTTTGCACTGCAGCTGTCCGAAGGACGTCACGTGCATTTGGAGTTAACGCCCGACGCAGAGACAACATTCCAAGTACAGGAAGAACCAAAACAAATGCCACAGCAAACGCTGTAAGAAACGAGATTACATTCATTGTGTTGTTCCACACCCCAAAATACTGAAATCTTTGAAAAGAAGAGTAAATCGCCGTCATAACCACGTAAAAGGCCGGCATTCCAAATATCCCAATAGCGTTAAGAAAAGTAATAGAATGAGACTCTAATAGCATTGTCAGCATCTGCGATATGATGAGGGCGGAGTATGCCACAGAAAAAGTTACATCATGAGTGGCAGCCCATCCGGTTTCTGAAAACGCAAAGCTCAGGTTAAACACCCCCGTTACAAGAAACAGCGTCAGTACGGATTGAACGATACCGCGTGCTATAAATACAATAAAAAATTCCTTAATATTCATATCCGAGGCACGTCGGGTCCTTTTGTACAGGAATGTGTGTCGTTCAAGAACCACACGGGGAGCAATGCGGTCCAGGCAGTAAAACATTGTTTGAGGAAGTGTGTATACCCCATTCCACACCGTAAGGCCAAAGCTGTTCCAAAAAGTCCCTCCAGAAAAGTACGTCCCCACAACATTGTACGCTACCTGAATGAAGCTAATAAGCATGGACTTGTAGAAACTGTACTTAATTACAAACGCCGTACGTATGTATGCTTGCTGGCCATGCACAAAAACAAGAGCCCTGAGGTCTGAAAAGCGATTTATAGAGAAGTCGGCCGCACGGGAAGCTTGTTGACCTTCCTTACCCACAATCCCAACGCCCACATGGGCTTCCTGAAGCATTGCCACATCATTTCCACCATCTCCAATCGCCAACGTCATGAAACCCCTGGAGCGCACAAAACCTGTCAGGGCGGCCTTCTGATTGGGCGTGACACGAGCACATATAACACATACACAGTTATCACTTAAGGCAGCAAAACGTGCCCTTAGCTCCGATGTACTAAGGATGCGCTCCAAAACCCTACCGCCTTCCACTACTAATACGGAATTATCCTTTTGGAAGTTCGCGGGGGGCGTTGTATCGCATTGACCATTCTCATTTTTAACCTCATTCTTTAGAGAATCACCATCTTCCAAATTTTCAAAACCGCGGATGTTTTCTTCATCAAGGATTTCTGCTCCCGTCAAAAAAATCCCTAATCCTCCATCTGTGGTCTTTGGTGGGTCTGGTAAAGGGATAGACATCATGTGTTCTTCCCATCCAACACCATCGGTTGAATTTCCCGAAACAATGTAAATTAAGCGATTTCCCGGGGCATACAAGGAGCAGGAAAGTCCAATCTGTACGGCTGTTTGGACCTTATCTCCTGTCAACATCCATACTTTAATTCCAGCTCGAATAAAATCACGTACCGTGTCTTGAACCCCTTCTTGGAGTTTATCCTCTATGGCCGTAATGCCCGCAATTGTTACTCCATTCTCCATTTTTAGACGTACTTTTTGTACTTGCTCCCGTCGATTCTGTAACGACAATTCCGCGACCCTCATTTCTTCCATAAACGTGTTCAAATCACTTTCAGAAAGTTTTTTTTCTGCCACCAATAATGTCCGAAGGCCTTTTCGCGCGTAAGAATTCAAATGGGATGTTAATAAATCCACCTGTGATTCTCTGCTTCTTAAAGTGGAAAATAATGGTGTTGACGTGGGGGCGGCCATTTCCATAATGCGATCATCGGCCCCCTTGACAAAAAAATACAACGTCCCTGTGGACTTCTCCTCGACAATCACGCCCATTGACTTCAGTTCTGACAAAAAGGGAAACACATGATGAATGATCCACGTTTCCTTTACTCCATTGACTTCCAATACGGCCTTATTGGCGTCGCGGTACAAAAGTTGAACGTGGAGCGAAACACAACCGCGACATATGGCTTCCTCATCAGGGGAAGATGCCTGATACTGTGGCAAAACAAAAGCACCTTCAGGCGACGACGAACCAGATTTACCCAGCGTCTCAACCGTGTTACAGAGAGAAAGAATCCTTCCAAAGTGTAATACGCGCTCATTATTTGGTATACCCAGCCCGGATTTATTCACCAATTCTTTTATTTCCTGATGCAGACACAGACGTTCATCGCCAATAGTGACATAAAGCAATTCCATAACATTCTGCGTCATCGTCCCCGTCTTGTCAGATAGAACATAATCCAATTGACCGAGATCCTCAAGTATATCCGAGTTCTTAACGCGACATCCTTCGCTATTTGGCCCGTCAGGTTTCATCGTTTCATCCCACTCGACTGCCAATGCCATGTAATATTTGCTCATGTCAACAACAAATTTGAAGGAGACCGGAATCATAACAGCCGTTAAAAGAAAGAAACGGAGCGGATAAATGATGAGTGAGGCATCTAGTTCGTTCGATGGCAACTTCAGATACCAGTAGTCTTCTTCCACTCGGCTGTTCAAAAAGTAACCGAGCAGACCAAATGTGAGGGCACTCGCAAGCTGGCAGAAAAAGACAAAAATGGAGTACCGGGAGACATCCTGGTCAATCTTGGCCCATTTCACAGGTGGAGGACTTTTGTTCATGCCACACTTTGTCTCCTCCCCAGTGTAAACTGCCACGCATAAGGCAGCCTTTGTTTTTTTAAGCAAACAGGACTGCGGTAGCAGATGGTGGTGGGACATGGAAACAGAGATCGTAGTCGCATCCTCGCTACTTCCACTCGCACATGTGAATTCAGCAACTCCATCAAACGACTCAATGATCGCAGAAGGTGGAGGAATGACAAGTTTAATATTTCCCACTTTGTTGATAATTGTTTCACAAGTATCATCAACACAAATGAGATTTAAATCAGAACTAGTTGTTGTATCATCCTTCGTTGCATTGTTGGATGAGACAGAGTGGGGAAAGACAATTTCCCGCGGTTTGAGATCAAGTTCACCATCCAGGTTATCTGTTCGAATGTAAACTGTGGACGCTGTGGCCGCCACCACCACCACATCACATGGAATTTCTTCATCGCCTTTTAAAAGGATAACATCCCCAACACGTATGCGGTAATTTGGCCGCGATTGCCACGATACTGACACTGGATCCAGCACCGTACGTGCTTTGTTGTTGTATTTGTCATCCTGCTGATGACGTTTAATGTCATCATACCCCTCCTTCAGTGAGGTGAGGGTGAAAGCAAAAAGAAGTGGCAGCAATGTGGAAAAGGGACTCACGGGCGCAATCACGGAAATAAACTGCAGACATGCAACCAATAAAAAGTAGAAATTCAGCGGGCGTCGAAACTGTTCATAGAGACTAAGAAACAAAAAGTTGTAGAACGTGTAATGGCTGTTGATAACTGTGTTATCGGGGTATGCGGCAGCGACAGCAGGGTCCAGTGGCCTTACTGTTCGCATGGTGGGGGCAAGTTGCGTCCGTTTTTCTCCCGTCGCGCGGTCCCCCCGCACTCCAATGACGCTGAGGAATCTGTTACAGCTTGCAACCACCATTGTTACCACACGAAACAGCCTCCGCACACGGAAGCGGAAGTGTACCAGGCAGGAACCCTGCCGCTGCTTCTTGACTTTTGGCGAAATTTCGTGTTTTGAATGGAGGGCGCCAAGCAGAAATGGCAGCAGACAGTCCGACCCGCCAAGTGCCGTACACCCCGACGGAAAGACGACTCAACAACTTCTTCACGGCACTAAAACAACAACAACAACAAATTCCGCCGGAACGAGAAAGCGGCAAAACACAAAAAGTCTTCGCTCGCTCTCCCCATAGAAAAATAAAAACCAAAAAAAAAAAGAAAAGAAAAGCGAGTGTCACAGATTGCAGCGAAAGGAGACGACAGCAGACACTACAAGAACACCCCTTTCAAACCTCTTCTCCCTCATTTGTGTTTCTCGCAGCACAGCATTATAAGTAATTGGATACGTCATTTCCAGAACACAGTGTGAAGGCACTTTGCGACCGATCACCAAACCCCTTCCTCCCTTTTTTCCTCCTGCAGTGTGTTTGCCTTACCCGCCCCCAAGCGCCCTTTTCACCTTCAGAGGATCTTTCATAAATTCACGACGCATGTTCTCACGCTGCGCACGCTCCATCTTCTTTTGCCTCTTCCGCAACTGTGAACTCACCAGCGCACCCCATTCATCATCCACACGTGATGATGACGAGAATGATGAAGGAGGTGGCAACTGTTCCTCTTTTTGTTGCTTTCGTCCTTCTTGAGACAACCGCCTCGTCCCTCTCTGCGGCTGAGTTTCCGGGCGTTGCCTTTCCTCTTCACCGATGCGACTTGTCCCGTCCGGCAGGACGGAGCTTGCACGAGGCAGCAAGGGCCCCACCAAACTATATTGAGCACCAGTGATTCGGGTGGGAGACGATGAAACGGGGAAGTTCGGTAGAGCCCCATGAGATTGCAGCACTCGCTGAAGGACGGCCTCAACACCATCACCATCGCCTTTCGTCTGCAAGTCATCAATAAAGTCCAAAGAAACATGGGTGAATTCATCATCATCTTTATCCTCATTTATGTGTAAGATCCGCTGAAGACGTGAGCGAAACGCCGCTCCTCGCCACACGGGCTGAATGACACGTGCAGCTGCTTCATAGCGCCGTCGCTGTGATTCCGCATAAGCCGCCTTTAATGACTCAAGCTCCTTCTTGGCTCGCCTACCAAGGAGCCGAAGACGCATCCATTCACAAATGAAAACTTTTGCCCTCGCTTCACGGTGCTCTTTCATGCGCTCATGGTAAAGCACCGAACGTAAATGCATATTGGCCATTATTTGCGGCATCGTCTGCAGAGACGTTAAATGTTGCCGCAGGGTACTATTCGTTTCACGTCCATTTCGTTCATCAACCGTATTCGATAAAAGATGAATAACCGGATTAAAACGCTGCTTTGATTCACGAAATCTTTTTTGTAGTTCCTCCTCCACGCGTAACGCATCATGATGCCGTCTCCGGCAAAAGGCGATAAGAACATCTTGTTCCTTTTGAAGTGTTGTTAAGGCCACATCACTTGTGAGGGCCGAAAACAACGCAGCATACCCACTTTTTACATTCATGTATTGCGAACCCCATTCCCTAGTGCCACACACTTGCTGTACATCTTCCACTGTGGATCCACATGGCCAATACCAAGCGTCATACACCGCACTTTCGTGAAACTGTTGCCTCAAACGACGGGCCATGCTAAAAGGACGAAGCCACATGATTTCGTCCTCCATAGCACTGCTGCGTTCTGCATCTATCAATTTCTCATTATTGAGCTCGGAAAGTTGTGGAAACCAGGCAAGCAGTGTCATCTTTACCTTTGCTGATGTTCCAAATTTGTTGCAATCAATTCCACGTGTAAATGGATTTTCATTCACAGACAAACTCCGTAACTTTTTGCACGCCGCAAGAGGAGAAAGATCTTCCACTCGTTGTAGCCGGTTAAATGCAAGACCTACGGCTGTAAGGCGGGGGCAATGCGCCAGGCCCGATACATCACGCAACTTATTATTCTCGACATGAAGCACCGATAGAAAAGGGAGCCAGCAAAAACATTCACTGGGAAGTACCTCAAGTTGGTTCTCATTCATAAAGAGCTGGCGTATGAAGCCAAGGAATAGAGTTTTTGGGAACGCACTAATCTGATTTCGTGACAGATACAAATTCTGCAGCAGTACATGTTGCGCAAATGCGTCCCAGGTTATGAGACAGTTCTCACTCAAGTCCAGAGTCCGTAAGAGAGAAAGATGTTGCAGTTCAGAAAGCGAGGAAATTCGGTTACGACTTGCCTCAAGGCTCTCAAGGTGAGTGCACGACGCCAACGGCAACAAAGAGTCAACATGGTTTGCATACATCACCAATGAGCGTAACCGGTATGGAAGAAGCTTTCCAATGACCTCGACACTATGCAATTTATTCATAGAGACATCAAGGTGGGAGAGATGGGTTGACTGTGCCAAGGAATGAGCATGAGCTTCCGATACCCCACGCAATGACGCAGAGTGACACGTCACATCCCTCAGTCCATTGTCGCTGATGTTTAAACGACGGATGGAAGGAAACACTCGGAGGAGATCATCGAGAGGCAACGTGCGAAGTGCATTGCCTCCAAGATCAAGCTCCTGTACTAACGGAGCCGCAGGTGTCATGTGTTTCTCTTTGCAATTCCACACACCGTCGTTTGTGCAAACCTCCAGCGTGGCCAAACTAGCAAAGTCCACCGCGGCAACCTGCTCCAGAGCAAAGGAGAGTCTATGGCAAAGCTGCGCCACTTCCCGCAGGCTGCTCTTCACACCACCAAAAACAGTCGGTTGCAGCTGCTTCGCCAAATTTGCATCTAAGCGAATGGTTGTGTTATCCAACGAAGAATAGGACACATCATTCGACAGCGTCGGTGGAGTGGGAGTGGCATTAACCCCCGGTCGGACGCCAGGCAGCGAGGTGTTTGTTGTTCTCTCATCCACACCGTGCATCAATTCCGCTAATGCACTTGCAGTCTGAATTATACCTTTTTTGCACTCGTCTACCCATTTTCTTCTCATGCTTTCCTCCCGCTGCAGAGACTGCAGGCGAAGGGCATTGCCGATAGGTGAATGATCGATACATGTTCTTGATGCAGGGAATTGACCAGATGATTTTAAAAGTTTCCACGCCTGAGCCGTTTTTTGTAACGGCGCCGCTTCTGTAATTCTCTCCTCGTTCCCGTCACTATCTTTCCATTCAGTGGAGTTCGAAAGCGGCACAGTTGTAATGTTGTGTGCGGTGTGTTCCTGCTGGCGAATAAGTAAAAGATCCCTTGCATGTTGTTCTTCCTGCAAAATTTTCCTCATGGTGCCTTCTTCCATCGCCATAATTTCATGCCGAATGTCTGCATGTTCCTTCGTGATACTACGCACAAGCTGGGACCTGAATTCTTCCTGGCGAAGTTTCTCACTTTCTTTGGCTTTAAAAGCACTTTGGCGTTCTAGGTAATAAATCTCCCGGTACACATTGCACTCTTCTAAAAGAAGGATTTCACGCATACTGCGCTCATCGGACAGGCACCCCTGAATGTCGTTCTGAATACGTGTAGCTTCCTCCTTACGCCACAGCAAAAGACGGGTGGCTCTTCGATCTTCCTCCTGCATGCACCACGCCTCACGGAGTTCGCAGCGAACACGAAATCCCTCGCGCCGCGCATTCCTTTGAACCTGGTTGGTACTCAACGGCTGCGTGTGACCCTTTGCGTCCCCGACTGCCGTCTTTTCTCCGCTCAAAATTGGCGCCATTTTCACCTCCTCCGCCGACTCGAGGGCTTCTGTGGCCTCTAATTTCACCTCCATCTCATTCGGTGGCAGAAGTTGATTCACTCGGGTCATGAATTGGTCAAAGACAATTTCAGCCGGCGGAGCACGGCGAGGACGACGGCGTTCCTCTCGCGCTTTCTCCAGTTGCTGGCACGCTGCCGCCTGCAGCTCACTATCTCTTGCTTCCATCGTTGCGATCGATTCCAAAATTCCGGTATGCTGCTTCACCGACGGTGGGTGTGTTGCAAGAATCGGCGCCTCGTGGTACTCCTCCGCCCGCAACGAGGGAGAAACCTCAGCCATGACGTCCAGTTCTTCATCACGGGAAGCGTTCATCGTTTCGCCGCCCACGACATTGTTCAGCAACAGCTCCAACCGCTGCTCACACCTCAGCACCGCTTCATCCCACTCATGGAGGGTCTGCTGCTCCTCTGTCGTCGGTCCAAATTCATAAGCAAAGAGATTTTTGAGCTCCTTCTTTCCATTTTTTTCTTTCGCTGCGTCTTCATCTTCCGAGCTGCCGTCGCTTTCCGTAAGAGCAGTCGTTGTTGTTTCGGCACCGTGGATTGGAGACCAGAGACGCTCCTCCTCGAGCGCCGCACGTTCTCTCTCCAACAGGTAAGCTTCAGCCATGGGATCCATGTATTGTATACGTTTAGCTAATAATTCGTCTGCCTCTCGCAGTACGTCGTCTGCGGTGACCAATAAATCCAGGTCACTCCCTTCATACCTATTGAACTGTCTGGCGGGCGAAACATCTTCCATTTCAAATTTACCTTCTTCGCGGTCGATAGAACCAACAGCATCCGATCTCTCTACAGACAGCGGGCTATGAGGGGCCATGATTGGAACAATCTTTGTGTCGCCATTTAAAACCCCATTCACGCCATCCCACAGAGGTATTGCTGTGGAATACGAGAGCATGTGGGTATGGTGCAATAAGACACAGTCAAGAGGCCACGTATGGTCCACATGATTGATTTCTCCTGCGTCCGTCTTGTCCAACCTCTTGTTATCATTATCGCCCTCATCAGAACGAGTGCCAGTGAGAAAAACGTCCCTTCCGCCGTAATCAAAAACACATGTAGATGCAGCAGGAAACCTAAGAAGATCATCGTAAGGACCCTTGACACCATACTCCGCCAGAAGTGCAGCTTCTTCCTCTGTGAGAAGCTCCAGTGGCGGCAAATTATCGCCCATTCCCTCCTTCTTTCTTCTTCGCTACTCTTCTGGAAGATGTCACCTTCTCCAGCACCCTGATAAATTACACTCAAAAAAAGAAGAGAACCACACAAAGCAAAAACAAAAACAAAAACAAACAAAAAAAAAAACAACTCTCACACGTACATCACCCACAAAGGGGCAGTCAATGATTTTGTAATATCCACTCTTCTAGGTTCATGTAATAATACGCAACGTAAATGCATGCATAATGCTTGACGATATTCCGTGGAACTCTGTTTCTATCACTATCGGACCCAATGTTTCTCCTTTTCACCCTCTTATTATTTATTATTATTATTATTATTATTATTTGATTGCAACAATATGAGTGTGTGTCTATTTGTCACAGGTCCATCCTTTAAACAGGCACGCAGACGCTGGTGGAAATAAATAAATATATAATAAATAAATAAAACTCTTTGTCGCAGTCGCAGAGAGCACTTTTTTTATACCTCTAGGGCCCATATATCAGCTTTAGAGAAGCAAAGGCAACGGGAGAAAACGTCCACCTCCTTCATTATGGAGAGTCTCTGCGCTGATGGCAATGGTGGGAAGATGCGCTGAAATCCACCGCAGTAGACCAGCTCGTCCTGTAGGCGAAGCCCCACCTCCTCTCTGGCCTCACTATCATTCAACGGTCCATGTTCACGACTCGCGCCGCCGCACCACCGATGAACGGTTTCTGCAGCTTCTTTGGAGAGAGGATCAAGGATGCCAGAGAGACGCAACTCGTCGTCCAGCTCGTCAAAGCAAGATACAGGACGCTCAAATGGTTCAATCATTGCAAGATTTAAAAGATCGGCCACAATATTTGTCTTGACCGCATAATCGAGAGGGGACGAGCTGGCAAGAGAGGGCAACGTATTCACCTCAACAAGCCACGGCTTAAGCTTCGAATCTAGCATCAAGTCAAATCCATAAAGCTCAAAAAAGCCGCCGGGAACGGAGAGGCTACATGTGGCAGTCGCCAAAGGAACCTTCACGGCAAGCAGAGTTTTGACAATCACACGCGCAATTTCTTCCTTGACTCTCTCTGACATGTGCCGGTGTAGCGACGTATTAATTGGTGTTACCGCCGGGTGCATAGCGTCAATATGCTCCCACAATTCACTCAGACTCTTCTTGAGCTCTAACGACGGCGGCGATAACTTCTCGCCCGGAGAGATATCAGATACCACACCAACATCCTCCTCCCCTTGACTGTAAGATTGTTTGCCCCGTGTATGCCATCGCCTCCCCACGGAGTAATTTGTGAGGTCACGGAAGGGATCAAAGTTTGGCCCATTGCCAACACTGCTATATTCCTGCGCCGCCAGACGCACAAGACCTTCTTCATGAAGATAGACGGTCAACGGGTCGTAGCTTGTCACCGCTACGTAAAGGCGAAGATCCGTTTTTCGCCCGTTAAGCAATAATGGATTCTCAATGTATTCCTGCACAACATACTTGCGTCCCATCATACCAGGCCCTGGCGTCTCCGTCACTATGCGATTTTTAATCTCCGCCGCCAGACGCTGCCAACGCGGCGCGTTCTTACTCCCACCCGAGCATGTAAATATACCGTGACCGCAACTCCCACGCGCGGGTTTCCAAATAAAACGTTGCGTAGACGGTGCTTCTGCCAGGGCTTTAAAAAGCACTTCACTTTCGTCAGGAAACACCCATGTGCGTGGAACAAAATCGTAGAGCATCTTATTTTCTCCAACTTCTTCAAGTAATTTCGACACTTGGCGCAGGCGTCTTGTTAGCCCCCACTTACAGCCAACGTTAACATGACTGCGTGGGAAGTGGTTAAAACGCTGATGATTGCACACCATTCGAACCGAGCTAGAATTCTCTGCCTCCTCGTTTGTGGCAGCGGATGACGCTGAAAAGGCGATATTGTCTGCAGCACCATCTGCATGTAGAGACGTACACGACGACGACAAATGCGATGGTGATGATGAAGGGAGATGGTAAACACCCACAGCGGGATGTAGAGGCATGGAACGTCCCCAAAGGACATTGCTCGGAAGAGAGAAATTGGTACCGGCGGGAAGACGCTTAAAACCCGCCTTCAAAAGCGGTAGCCGCAGGGCATAGTACTCACATGAAGAGGACGTAATGCAAAAAAGCGGTAATGCCGTACCAAGCGGTGGTGCCCTAAATGCGTAAGCAGGCGGACTATCACGCATCCGCGTAAAAAGAAAGGTTGCTTTGCGGCGTCGACTTCGGCTTGGCTTCAGGTAGACTGCCTGCTCTGGTGGAAGAGAAGGTTGCTTCATTTGCTGTTTTTCCTCCATCCCAGTCGCCACTGCTACCACGGGCTGATGCCCCCTCAAACGACGGCAACACCGCATATCCTCCTTTCGTTTTAAATTCTTCTCCTTTTACTTTTTTACGGGGTAAAGTTCCGGTGTTTGTGTGTATAACAAAAAAAAAAAAAAAGAAAAAAGGTTTTATACACCCTTTGGAAGATAAAGTAAATTACATTTCCTCCTTTCTCAAGGCAGAGAAACAGCCTTCATATGACGCCAAACAAGTGGCTGTGAATTGGACGTTACGCTGTTGGTAGTCGACTGCTTCTCTCCATTGAATCATCCTCATCCAGTCCGTGTGGAGCGAGCACCTTCAGCAGCCACTGCAGATCAAACTCCTTCAAAAGACCAAAGTACGGCGAGCTCACGTACCAGCTCGCACTAAGTGGCAGTTCACCTGCATACTTCCCGTGGCTCGTCAGTGCCTTCGGAAGCACGCCATGAAGAGCTCGAGCCGCCTCATAAACTGAGCGAATACGCGGACGATTTTTCTCGACAAAGTCATTTGCAATCGATACTGCCTTCAGTTTGGTGAGGCTCTTCGGCGGCGGTTGCCATTTCAGTGTAGGGCTCATCGCATCCGTTCCGTGCCTTGCATCCCATTCAAGGCCTTTGCGCACAGACTCATGTGTGGGGTGCTGCAAAACCGCAAAGTTTAATTCAAGCGCCTTTTGCAGGGAGTCGAGCCGCCTGTGATGCGCTTGCCAGAGTCTTTCGGCAATTGCCTTCTGTCCGGCGGGCGCTGCCGCCTCGGAAAAATTGTTTCCAAGCGAAACAACATACGCCGGTGTGAGCGGCTGAGCCGAGACAAAACCCCCTGCAATAAGATCATTCACTCTAAACTGAAAATCCCGCAACGACAAGTTTAACGCATTTGCTGCTGTCACAACGTTTTCAATTCGTTTGCTTTGCCGAAACAATTCAAATACCCCGTCGAGCACCTCGAGCTGCGCCAACACACCGCTGACTCCGGAGGATCCCATCGCATCACGCCCCCGCTTTCGCTTTGCTGAGTGATCGGTGGTAACAACCACTTCCGCAGCGGCGTGGTTCACACGGTACCCCATCGGTGCTGTCCCATGCAACTCATGCAGCACCCCACTTTCCTGCAAAACAAGCATGAAGAGAAACGTTTCTACGGTCTCTTCACCAATAGCAAGTTGCTCTGAAATTTTAGAAACGGAAATCATCGTCAACTTCTCCCCAAAGTGAGTTGTGGGACTGCTAAGAATAGAACTCACGATGGCGTGCACCTCCAACGGGGAAAGACAGGACGCGAGAGCCCGTGAGCGAAGAGTGTAGTAATCAAAGGGGTTATAAAGTAGACGACAGAATGACTTTTGACCATCACGTCCTGCACGGCCGGTTTCTTGCACATAACTTTCGAGAGAGCTCGGCGCTGAGGCGTGAACAACGGAACGGATATCGGCTTTATCAATGCCCATTCCAAACGCCACTGTAGCGACAAGCACGTCAATACGGCATTGCATAAATTCTTGTTGAGTCTTTGTTCGTACATGACGATCAAGGGCTGCGTGGTAACTTCGAATTATGATACGTTCCTTTCCCTCCACGGTTCTGCAACCGCCGCTTTTTTCCATGTGGACATGTGTGGCACTTGTGAAGATGGAAGAGGATGTACCGTCCCGACCATTCCCTCTCGTTCCGCGCTGCACGGTGCCAAGCTTTGAAATGAGAAAAGTTGCCAATTCATCTGCATCCACACGTGTCTGGACGTACACAAGCATTGGTTTCGGTAGCTCTAGCACAGCTTGCAGGAGCTTCTCCTGGAGCATCCGCTGCGTAGGAGGCCTTTGACATCCAACGTCCAGAAGAGAAACGGACTCCAATTGGAGATTCTCACGACAGTACGGTACAATGACACTTCGCTCGATGCGGAAAATAACTTTGAGGTCATCAATAACAGACGGTGATGCCGTGGCCGTGAGACACAAGAAAGGAGGCGCGTGTCTCCGTCCATCCATTGCGAGAATACCGCCACAAAGGCGTTCCAAGACGCGGTGCACATACATGAAGGAGGGTCGAAAGTCGTAGGCCCACTGAGAAACGCAGTGCACTTCATCTACACAAATGAAGGCAATTCGATGTACATGTCTCTCCAACACACTCCGCAGTTCACTGTGACGAACAAGTCTTTCAGGTGACAGAAACAACAAGTCAATAGAACACAATGGAGAGGCCAACTCATCCAAAATCGTCCTCTCACGAGAAGTCGATGTACCAGAGGAGAGAACTGCTGTTCGTATACTTCCACCACTGGCAATTTTTCCTGCTTGATCGGCCATCAAGGACAACAATGGAGACACAATAACAGCAAAATTGGACTCTGGTGGCCCACTCGAACTCTCGGATGTATCTGAGCCTTGTAGGTTCTGCCATGCTCTAAGTTTGGCTTCAAAGAGCAAGCGGTAAACAAGGATAGGAAACTGGAAACAAAGCGTTTTGCCCCACCCTGTGGGAAAGACAGCAAGCGTGTTCCGCCCCTGCAGGATGGACAACACCACCTCCTGTTGGCCTCGACGGAACTGGCCCGAAGCAACGCCCAAGTAAGTTCTCAGAATATAATTGCATACTGGCACGGTCTGCATAGAAGAAACGGAATAAGAAGAAGTCATTAGGGATTCTTCAAAAAGAGCCTCAAGATTTACCTGCAAAATAGTCTTGTTTTCCTCTGCTTCTGCCTCTTGAACCACATCTGATAAAGTCGTCTCTGGTCCATAAAAGTTGTTGTGGGCAGCTGGATAGTCTTCCGTGAATTTTTTCCTGACGGTACTCTCGTCCCTCTTAAAAGTGGAAGGATGAAGGAGCGGAGACGCTGCACCAAATGCCATTAGTCGCGGCGGCGCCAAGTACGGAACAAATGCAGTCCCTTCCACATCAACGGTTTCTTCTGTATTCACCGCAGGGAATTCACATGAAGCCGTTCCGTCACTAACAATGTCATCATGAAAGAGTTCCTCGCCGTCATCCTGCATAGCACCCCGTGCCCAGGAGAGAGAACGCAACTCCTCGGTCCTTCAAAAATAATATCCCCCACCCTTTTTTTTTCTCCTCCAACTACAGTTGAAGATGAGAGATGTGGATGAGGTGAGAGCATCACACATTTTTAATTCGCGAGTATTGTCACAGAGAGAATGGGAGTGGAAAACAGGGAAAAAAACAACAACAACTAAAAAATGCAATAATAAAAATCGTGGCAAGACTCTTTTTTTTTTTTTTTTTGTGTGTGTGTGTGTGTTTGCCCTCACTTTCAAATCAATTCATCCGTAAAGCAAACTGTGTTATCATCGGCAAGCGATGGCATGGTTTCGTCATCCGTTCCATCTTTCACCAACACATCCTCCTGTTCTTCATATTCCTCTTCGTAATCGTCCAAATCGGCAGATTGCCGTTCCGCCATCATCGCTCTTGCTTTCTCACGCCGCCGCTCAAGCTGTATTTCAAGCATCTGTTCCGGGTCATGGAACGGGTAATGATATCGGAAACCTAATGGTGTCAGCGTGCAGATATTGTTTTGCAGAAGGCACAAGCCACGTTGTTGGCAGGATAAAAAGGCCTCTCGCACGCCACAAACTCCGCTGCCAGCCAGCACCTCCTTCTCAAGTACTCTCAAGGCACAACGCACATTCAGCGAAGGCAAAGGATTGGGCACAGTCTCATTCGTCCCCATGGAGTAATCAAAAAGATCAAGAACCGCACTCATTCTTCGATGAAAGGAAAAACCAAGAGCTTCTTTTGGCAAATTCCCTTCGAATTCTTCTTTCCCTGCACCAACAACACGGGTTTTCCTTGTTTGTCCATCGGACTGTTGCGCAACGAGCTGCATCACACTATCCCAGAAAGAAGAGCCCTCATCCACAAAACAAACTGCTTGTTCCTTGACCTCCCTCGTAACCTCCCCGGCATGCACATTGTCTCCAGTAGTTGTATTATTGGTGCGTTCATCAACAGCGTGAATGTCACCGGGAACCTTGCGGTTTCCCGTAACGACAAACTCCAACACATCATCGTACGTCATGCGAGGAAGATGTGGACGAAGTGTCGTTAACAAGTGCATGATCCTAGACGGAGTCAAATGCAAATGCTCCAAAAAAGATAAAATGCGAGAGTCCATGGCGACACACTCACGGTATCGCAACAACCGCTCCTTCTGCTCAGCCAATCGCTCCGCTTTCGTCTTGGCAGCCATCTCTTTTAGCATTGCAATGGCCCTTTGACATCTCTCCTCCCGATCCCGTCGTTCTTTTTCCCGCCGCTCCTCTTTTTCTCGCTCGTGATCCTCTCTCAGCCTTCGGATGCGTTTCTGTTCTTCGTCTTTCACTTCCCAACGCTTCTGCTGCTCGCTTTCAAAGGCACTGGTCCTCGCCTTCAGTTCCTCCTTTTGCTGTACCTCCGCCAGCAGTTGCATCGTTTTTTCCTTCTCCTCCTTCTGCTGTTGTTCCGCCACCATTTTTCTTTGCATTTCGGCTCCGCCAAGAAGTTCATTCTGCAGCTCCAAAAGACCCTTCCGCGCCGCTGCTGCAGCTGATAATGATGGTTTTGTTTTTGTTGTTTCCAAAGGATGGTTTAAAGGCTCTTCGAGCAGTGCCTCCTTTAGTGCAGGAATGAGAACCCTCGTCAATCTTTCGGCGCTCAACAGCAGCTGCGCCAATTCACAACGTCGATCGCCGTCCAGAAGACTGAGGATGATCCCAATAGACTCTGTGGAGGAAAAGGGGACTGCGGGTGCGTAGAAGTCATCCACGCACAATCCCCCCCTGAGCCAGGCTTCAAGAAGAACCTTGTAATTGTTTATTGAGCACCGCGGAGGAATGTAGACATCAGGCATCCGCTGTGCAATGACTCCGCAGCACTGTATTCGACGCGTGACACACACGGCAGAGAGAACTGCGGACATTGTCTTTGGTCTCAGACATGACACGTGAGACCTTTTGTCCCAGGGGCTTATGATTGAAAGGAGGAGATCCAAGTAGCTTTCCCATGTACAGGCATGCGGTATTTTGCCAGCACCTTCCTCTGCAAGCCGAAGAAGCAATGCCGCCAGGGATTCCAAAATAATCTCCGTTTTATAAGCATCCATCTTCACAGTTGATGGTGGTGTAAACCAAAAGAGAAGAGCAAAAAAATCAGCAACCCCTCTGCAAAAAAAATCCATTGAAGCCGCTTGCGCAGGCAACACTGATAGCTTGTTGTCATTAGCAGTGGCGACGGCGGTGTTGTTGTGCCTTCCACCCTTCTTCTTTTTCTTTCCCCCGCCTCCACCTCTTCCCGCAGATGCGTCGGACATCGCCGCTTCTTTCGCAGTGAGCAACGCTGTAAGCATCTCCAGTGCGGAACTCACAGAAGCGTGCGGCACGGCAGACGTCGCTCTCCTCACGTCCGTTAGAGTGTACCGCCGCTTTACACATTCGGCGAGCACACTGAATGACCTGAGGAGTTGTTCCTCCTCATCTGTCGGTATGGCGCCTGCGTTGAGCGGCAACAAATGCACCATATTCAATACAGAAACCCACATCGTCGCCTCCTCCTCGATTGGGAGCAATGCTAAGTTGTGCGTTTCTCTCCACATCGTCAGCAGCTTGCAAAGGAAGACATACACCACAAGACTTGCAAGGGCCTCGTCATGCCGTACTTTCCGGTCCACACAGTAACGAATGAGACCGGAGAGTCGCTCGGCAGTCCAATCCACCAAAGGGATATGTGTCAAGAAAGAGTCTTTGAGTAATGCCATACTCTCACCGTGCATCTGGACAACATCTACAAACGTGTCAAGAACAGGAACATCCAGGCAGCAAATAAAAGCTGAGGGGCGTAGATTTGGAAGGAGTTGATCACCATACACGCCCATCACACGAGCAGCCAGTTCACCATCGCCACCAATGACTTTTTGAAACTTGGCTGAACTATTAAAAGGCGATAACAGAACCTCCATGCAGTCGGATGGAAGAACCATATCCAATGCAGCGTTGAGCATCTCAGTTGAAACGACTTTAAACCCTTCTTTGAAGTTGTTATTCGTATTCATCTGTAAATTCGTTTTGGATCGTGCTGCCCGGCGGCCTCCCTTCAAGGATTTCTTTTCCTTTTGCTCTGCTTTTGGTGGGGGCTCCATGCCCAGAAAAAACCGCATGGCATCCACATCAATGGCGCCTGTCACAACGAAAAGTTTAAATGCCACTGGAGAATTTGGCAACACCTCCTTAGCGTCCTTCAGTGTCGTTTGAAGTGGATACAAAGAAACAGAATGCACACATATCAACGCCTCAAGAAGAAGTTCCATAAGCGCTGTACATGGTTTGCGTCCCTCAGACCCGTTTGTTACAGAGGCGCAAAGAATAGGCAAAGTCATATTCACTTCAGGAGACTCTGCTAAAGCTGCTATGCGACCGTAATTTTGAACATGACGCAGCATTTGGACAAGTGACACGGCAAGCAAACGGCACTGCATTGTTGAGGGATTGGGGAATGGCGGCCGCCCTATTGTCTCGTCAAGTCGACGAACGGTTTCACAAATCTTTGACTTGACTGCATCAAACGGCTGCGCCTCCCAGTCTGAAACGCTCCCTTCTTCCTGCATCCCTTCTGTTCCCAATTCGTCCTCTCCATCCTGAAAGAACCGCCCCCCACCACAACGCCCGAAACACAAAGAAAGAAGTCAGCTATACAAACAAAGAAGAAACCCCATTTTTTTCGCCGCAGTGCAACTATCACCCCTTCCTTCATGCACACAACCAACAAAACGCACGTATACACAACGCAGGAAAATAAGTATAAAGGAGTTCCAGACCGCGGCGAAAGAAAAAAGTAAGGATTTTCACTCCGCTCTCTCTCCAACGTTTCCTTTCTCCTTTCATTTTACTCCAACGTTTTTTTCCTTTCAAGTGACAACGCATCACCTGTTAGTTTCCAGGAAAAATATCTGTGAAAAACACGTCGACTCCGCCATCGGAAGAACGGGGTAATCAACAGAAGGACCAAATACACGAAGCTGCCGAAGGTTTAAATTGTGCTCGGAAGCAGCGAGACGGAGAGCCGTTGCAACCGTTTCCCGAGAAGCGGGCGCAAAATATTCGGTTGAAGCATGCTGCTGAAGAAGATCTGGAATGCCGAGCGGGGCAGCCTCTTGCGCCACAAAGAGCAGAGTGCCATCGCCGCAAATTCGACGCCGCAGCAATGCAGCCAGTGTTGTCCGCCATTGTTCCTCAGAGGACAATGTGTCGGGGTGATGCTCCAAATAAACCACGTCTTGTCGGCGGGCCTCCAAGTCTTCGATGTTTTTACATGGAACGGTTTCGCAGATATTAAATACAGCTGTGGCGTGGTTGGCAACAAGGTTTTCCCGTATACGGTCTAGCAGAGCAGCATCGGCCTCAGCAATCAACACACTCTTTGCGGACATTAAGGCATTTAGTGCTGCAGACCCACTACGGTCATTTACAGTCAAAACACGCTTATTCCGACAAACCTCGCGAAGTACAAAACGTGTCCTGCGATGCGCTGTGTTAATTAACCACCTATTACTTCGCGTTGCAGGGGTTTCCGCTGGTGGAATCCACAGGTGCCTCGTTCCATTCTCAATGTATACCGCCGAGAGGGGAATAGTAGGATGAACAAGGGTGAGTTTTTCGCGGTCTTTCAAATACGGTGTATCCAACAAGAGTTGCTCCGCCCCGTAGCATCTCAAGAACTCCGCGACAGAAGGAACAAGTCGCTCTGCTCCAAAGGAAGTTGCTACAATGCGGGCAAAGCTAGAGGAGTAGAGATCCACGTACAAGGAGGGGATGCCGTCTGCAGTACCATTCACGACACGGTACGTGTTATTATCGCCGTTCACTGCCATATTACCAAAGACACGCTGACGTTTCTGCCACGCCTCCCGCATTCGATTCAAGAAAAATTCCTCGCCGATTGTGGGCAACTCTGAGATGAGTTTTGGGATCAAATGAAACACGTCCACCCGCAGAAGCGCTGGTTCGTAGAACCCCAACGCGAGCAAATGGTGACGCTCCGAATCTCGCACCTCCACGATGCTCCCAGGGGCTATTTCGCGGCGAGCAAATTCCACGCTGTTTGCATCAAACGATGTCAGCGAAATAATGCATTGACGTTCGCGTGTAAGAAGCCGGTGTTGCAGCGGGCGAAGTTTCAACTGTGGAAACTTCTGCGCAGGTGCAAGGCGGTTGGTGAGCAGAGGAGAAAACACCTTGGACCACATCCACAGCGCGCCAAATCCCCACCTCCTCCCTTTTGTACAACACACACCCTCTATTCTTTTTTTAACGGGCAATTCAGCCCTCCATTCAAGAAATAACACCGTGTGTTGGAAAAAAAAAAAAAAAAAAAAGACAAAATTAGAAGAGCAACGTCCTTTTTTTTTTTCTTTCTTCCTTTGTGTTTTGCCAAGTGGAACAAAAAGGAAGAGAGAGCATGATATATATATATACATAAATACCAATGAAGGAAAAAAAGACGTAAAAAAAAAAAAAAAAAAAAAAAAGAAAAAAAGCGTTTGACTAACAAGAGAGAAATATGATGTGTGTATTGGGGAAGGTGGGAGGCACAAGGAAAAGAAATAAGGCACATCTTATGCATCCTTTGCGGAAAAGAGATAACGTGGCTCCCACCCGTCCTCCTCTTCTTCCAAATCCGATATTCCCAAAGTTTTTTGCCTCTTATTCTTTCGCTGACGGGCTGCAGCACGGTAGTCAAGAGTGAGCTCTTCTCCGAAATCGATGTCCCTGACTGCCCGAACCACAACGGCACGCTTAGGGATGCTCATACACGCAGCGCACGTATAGTCCGTTGAACTGTGGTTCAAAAAGTCCACAATAGGCGCAATGACGGATGTTACACGATCCGGAGCTTTATCTTCTCCAAAAAATGCGGTCATACGCAACAAACGTGCCCGTATAACGTAGATCGCCGCAAGAAGTGTTGCATCCAATTCCGATGGACGCGCATCGTAGAAAGTGTACTCTTCTTGAGGAGCATGTGAAAGTATGCAATCCCGGAGATTCCATGCTATTTGCTCAATGTTGGAGTGGACGTTTGACTCGTCTTCGACGTTTGAAAAGTACGGCCCCTCTAAGCCGTACGAAATATATTCCTCCATGGGAAGAGAATGGAGATACAGATCCGCTGGACGAAACCTCGCAGGACCCAACGCGGGTCTACCACTGCCCTCTCGGTCCTTCAATAAAACAACGTTCCGCCAAAAGTACCGAAGAGCCACCGATACAGCCAGTGCGGCTTCAACGGGCGAAAGGGTAAGCGTTAATACTTTGTTGTCTTCCGTTGAGACGGAGGCACAGAGAGAGACGCGTGCGTCGGGCGCATCGGGGGAGAGTTGCCGCAGCCAGAACTGAGCTTCTGGGAAAAGTGCGGACCTGTTCCAACGCCGCAGTCGGTGTGGGTCACGTGAGGCATGTGGGAAGTAGCAGTGAGCAAGCGGCACACAAATCAGCAGATCACCGCGATGAAAACGACTTTTCGCTACCATCCCACGAATGCCATCATGTGAACGACGCACCTGCGCCATGGGAGCTGTCCAGGCCCTCAGTGCGCATTTCAGCGTCATTCTTTAACCCTGGAAGCAACCACGTGTCCCACCAATTCCTCACAAATTATTCAAACGTATTGATTTATTTGTTTGTGCAACGCCTCCCTTCCCACCCCTTTTATATGCACACACACACACGGAAAAAACAACAACAAAAAACGAAGCACACGCTGGAGACTAAACAGAAGTGGGGAACAAACCAAAATGGAAAAGAGAGAGGCTCCACAAGAACAAAGTGTATTCAAGAACACACATGAAAAACGGTGAGTTTACACGCACACACACACACAAAAAAAAAAAAAAAAAAAAGGAAAAAAACATCCATTGAACAAACCAAGCAACGAAATATCTGGCGGGAACGTGTAACAGAACTCGGTTGATGACATCCCAAACAACAGGTCTGCAATTGCAGGTTCCGCGACTAACGTGATGGGAAGAGACGCAAAAGGGGAAGCTGGGAAAAAAGGGAGGAGAAAAGATAAATGTTAACGGAGTAATCCCGGTACGAGAGGGGCATTCCATCAATTGCCGCTTCACACGAAGACCTCAGTCAACTCTTACCACTACCAATAGAGCGAGCAGAAGGGAGGTGGGGGAAAAAAAAAAGAGGCAAGAACAAAAAAGAGGCTCAAACGTACAGATGAAAAGCAAAAGAGACGTAAAAAGAAAAAAAAAAAAAACAAAAACAAAAAACAAACAAACAAATACGAGAGAAGAAAATCCTAAAGGATTTCTCTCATGTTTGTTTTAGAATACGCTTGACGCATCCGATAAAATAGGCGCTGCACGTGAACACAAAATTACTGATCCCTGGTGCAGCACACACACCGACACACGCGAACACAACGCACTCCCATGAATAAAAGGCATGTATGTAAAAAACAAGAAAAAACAGAACACACACACACACAAAAAAAGCAAATTATAGTGGAAGCAAAAAAGCTTTTTTTTTTCCCCCCTCCCCCCCCTACGAGACTAAACGCATGACAAAAATCACTTCTTCCGCTTCATAAAGAGCCTTGAGAGAAATAATTTCTTCCACTTTTTACCTTTTTCAGAGGTGACGCTTTCCACCGAAGTTTTTTTTGGATCCACGGCAATTTTTTCTTCTTCTGCATGCTGTTCCTCCTGTCGCGGTATCTCGCCAGCGAAAACTCGAACGTGGGATTCCGCGCCCTCTTCTGCGCGTGAGCGGAACGAGTTGCTGGTGAGGCCCGATGGTGTCATTTTTCTGAACGGAGCTTCCCCATGTGCAGAAGATCGTAGAGGACTTATGTAGGAATCGAACGAATATCCACAATTAATTTCTTGAAGGCTATTAAGCCTATTGAAATTGGGCACAGAATTCTCGGAAAATCCACGTAAAGAAGAAGAAAACACCAACCCTTTGTTTTGATCACTAACCAAACCGGCATTATCGATATCTAATGTCTTTTCTCCGTTCTTCGTCACAATATGTGTTTCCCCTGCGCGCAGGTGACTCGTGGGGCCTATCTGGTGTGCAAGGATTCTATGAAGACCGCCATCATCAACAACACCGACGCTACCCAAATTAAGGCTAGTAAACACGCTGCCAGAATAACCAGCCGCCTGAGAAGGATGTACTTCCAAAAAAGGCACCTTGTTTTTCGCTACAACAGACACCTTTGAGGCTTCTGAAGCAGGACTCACTGATAACTTCCCCACAGATGCCGTCAGTTTGCTGTACTGTCGTGGTGATTCGGAAATTTCCGGCCTGAATTCATCAACCGATGGTGACTGAACAGATCCCTCCCGAGACGAGGGGGAAACCGGCGAAGGGGCTGGCCGGGACGCTGAGGATGAATGCCCCGACAACACAGCGAGATGTTGATCGAGTGGCATCTTGGCCTCATGATTCGGCTCCAACACCTCCATTCGGCGTAAAACCAAATCTCCCTCCTTTCCGATGGAAACTTCTTTGTTCACCGTTTCATGCGTATCAGCCATACGGAGGGGATAACAGTTAGTGGAATGGAGTGAACTCCCAGAGGCAAATCGGGCTAAACCCTTATGTTTAACTGAAGTGGGTACAGGGACGGCATTTTTCGGAAGAATCTCCTCCAACGTGCTGCTCTCCAATCCGTGTGCGCGCCTCCCGTACACACCCTCTATTTCTCTGGCCTGGCGATAAATCACTTCTTCCATTTGTTGAAGACGAGACTTCGTAGCCCGCAATTCGTCTTGCAACGCATCCATTTTTCTTTTTTCCTCCTCCTGCAGCCTCGGTAAAATGTGGGAAATGTCACGCTCATGGAGCGGTGGGCCAGGCAGGTGATGTGCCGGTATTGCCGCTATGCTCACAGGGGAGAAAAACGATAGTGTTGCGTCCAGTTGTCGCTTCTCCTTTTCAGCGGCCATCGCCTCTCGAAGACCCATTAATTCTTCTCTCAAAGAAGTGACTTCTCCCCTCAATACGTCGTTTGAAAAGTTATTACCCTCCCCTACTTTCTTTTGTATTGCGGCGGAGTCTGCATTCATCGCGGCGTGGTGTTCTCCTCGACGGTGGCGCTTCCTCACATGCGACTCCAAAGAAAAAGTGGACGGGTAAAAATTGCCGCAGAGAGAACACATGAAGGAGCCTCTAGGCTTTTCTACAACCACGAGGCGATCGGGTGCGGCTGCCTTTGTTGCAAGCCGACTTTGACCACGCGCCTCATACCGCTGCTTCATCCGCGCAACGACCTCCCGCAACTCGACAAGCTCCTCAAAGGCCTCGTTTCTTTCCTCCCTTATTTCCTCTACATCTTGCCGTGCATTCTTCAGCTCCGCCTGGAGCTCCTTCATACGGTAGGCAAGATATTGAATGGTGCACTGCATGGATTGACACACCCTCTCCGTCAGCTCGCGTGACTTCTGCGAGAAGAACCACTCCTCCGGGAGATGCAACACATGCCAGCCAATGTGGCGGATCGTTGCATCTTTGACCTTTCCGCTTGTGGCATCGTCCGCATTGAAAAGAACCGGCGCATCGACGACGGAAAGAAATGCGGTGTCGCATGGTGGCTGATGCAGCTGAAACTCAAAGGCCTTCCGTTTCAAGGTAGATCTCCCACTCTCCATCCCTTCAGTGAAAGACCCTACCGCGACTGGATAGGCAAGAGAGAAAAACTAAGAGAAATTAAAAAAAAATGAGACAAAAAACAACAACAACAAAAAAGACATGAGCAAAAAAAAAACTTTTTTTTTTTTCAATGAACACATTTATTTAATTTAATTAATGTTTTTCTTTTGTTTACCGGGGAAACGGTAAAACACCGGATGGGAGCACCCATGGCAATGTGTGCACCCGCACATGCAGAAATACTCCAAAGTTTTTTTTTTCCTTTCTTTTTGTGTGTAAGCATTCATGGCCAAAATATCAAAAACAACAACAACAAAAACAATAGTAATAATAACAATATAAGTAACCAAACATATAATATTTAAAATAACAGCATTCAGAGAAAAAGGGCTTCCTTTCTGACGATTGGTAGTGGTATTGACATCAGCGTCCAGGACTCGGAAGCAATACAACCCCCCCCCTCTTTTTTTTTTTTTTTTTTTTTCTTCATTTGAAAAATTCATTCATTCATTGCCGTTTTTACTTTCATTTTCCTCCCCCCTTTCCATTCCCTCTCTCTCCCCCCAAAAGAAAATAAAAGAAAAATGAAACACACACACACACGGACAGACAAAAAAAAACAAAAAACAATAATAATGATCATTTTTCTTTGACAGGCAACTAAGAATAAAAAGAAAACAGAATGAAAATCTTTTGGTTCTATCTTTTCAATTTCACATTCAAAAACAATTATTTTTTCTAAGTTCATACGTATATATATATATATATATAACATCCTCTTCGGAAGAAGATGCAGGTAGATCAGGCAAAAAAAAAAAAAAAAAAAGAATTACCCAAATGGACATCTCACATATATATTTATATGCATTTTACCGCGTCAATGATTTGTACTGTAGTACTGATCTAAGAACTCCCGTAGAATGTCCTTCACAATACTACGATCGCTGACTCGCTGTTGTGAAGCATAAATAGATCCTCCTGCCTCGTCTTTTTTCACAACGCGGTGCTCCTTTTCAGCTTCCTTCACTGCTATGTACATCTCTTCACCAATGCTCGTCACGTCTTTGATGAAGCGGTCCGCAACGCCTTCATTTGTTTGCAGCAGCGTCACAGAGAACTGAAGACCAGATGGAAATTGAAGCCTGTTCAGAGCCCACCCCCGCTCTCTCAGACGGTCACCGAGAAGGAAAATGTCAATGCATTCACTGTTAAAGGCAAAGACAGAGGTAATGGGATCACCCAGGATTGTGATATATGGCAGCTTGGAGAGGGCAGCTGTCATTTTTATACGCGCATTCACAATTTTACGACAGTTTTCAACGTAGCCCTCTTCTCCCATACGAACCATAGCTGCCCACGTCCCCGCAATGACGTTGCCTGGCTTGGAACCACTTACTGCGGGGGAACAATAAATGCCGCCGGGCCAGTCTGCCACGCAGCAAAACTGGAAAGAACGCAGATCTTTTGTTCTGTAAAGAACAGTTGATGAGCCCTTGGGCGCGTATCCATACTTGTGTGTATCACAGCTGATTGTCGTGACGCCAGGGAGACGAAAATCTACAATAGGAACAGGAAAACCAGCCTTTTCCATAAATGGCACTATAAAACCACCCAAACAGCAATCCACATGCAATCCGATTTTATGACGATAGGCCAATTCGGCCAATTCACTGATGGGGTCAATTGTACCATGAGGAAAAGTCGGTGCAGAACCAACAATGGCTACAGTATTGTACTTAATGTGCTTTTCCACTTCTTTTACATTAATTTTCCGAGTTACCGGATCTACTGGAACTTTGATCAAGTTAATACCAAAATACTCGGCACCTTTGTCAAAGGCAGGATGTGCGGTGACGCCCACAATAACAGAGGGCTTCTCAATACCTCGCTTGGCACGTCCCCAGTCGCGATAGGACTTGAGCGCCATCATAATGCTTTCTGTACCACCAGACGTCACGGTACCACATGCATCCGGGAGTAAATGACCATTGAACATGTGGAGAACCATTGACGCTACCTCCGCTTCCATCTTTCGTGTAGCGCCAAACAAATCAACGTGTAGCGGGTTACTCCACTGGAATAATTCCATAACGCGGTTGATCAGCTGTGTGTGCGATGCTCCCCCATGATAGACAGATCCACTAAATCCACCCGTCTCGTAAGGCTTATCAAGCTCTTCGTGAAACGTTTTTACAAGGCTTAAAACTCTCTCATCCGTTGTACTCTTCTCTGGCAGCTTATTCGCCTTAAATTCGCCTTCCTTGGCTGGCATTTTAAACGCCTTACCGGCTGTTTTCACCTCCCGCTCAATGATAGGGGCAGCAAGGGTACGTATGATGCGCCACTTAGCAAATTTAGAACGCTTAATAAGAAATCCATCCTTGAAAATGTCTGTCAGCAGCTTGGCAGCCACAATCGTGCCGACAGACGCGTAGAAAATACTGGATGGACGCCTTCCTTGAAGAGTCTGATCAATAAACTCCGACAGTGTCATTATTAGAAATCCTAAAATCATTCACACACAATAATAATAATAATAATAAAACATGAAGGGAGGGCCAAAGACAAGTGAAACGGTGCGACACGCCAGCAGCACCACATTTTTTGGAAGATACACCCATAGAAGTAATACTCACCGACTCACGCAGAAAGAAAGAAAAGGGCAATTTGAATTCTTTTGTCTTGTCCTCGTCTTTTTTTTTTTTTTTTAATTCCTGCAGTAAAGAAGCCAAAAAAAAATGGCATCGCTTTTCGCTTCTTGACGAGTGGCAAACCGACAAGACGCACCGCCAACGCCTGGGAGGAGGTCTGCCAAAGATTCAGCGCAAACAAACAAAAAATACCCTCTCGAGACTTCCTTCTCTTTTCTAAATTTTTTTTCCCTGCCTCTCTCTCTCTCTCTCCCTCTTTATATATATATATATATCTCCGGTCCAATTGAAAGAAGAAACAAAACCCCTCTCCGCCGTCCATCAAAATTCAACCGACGCAAATGATGTCCACGCCACCATCTTCTATTTTGCCGTGAGGCCATGTCAATGTACACAGACTTGGGCGATAAACAACAACAACAACAACAACGACAAAGTAGAAAAAAAAAAAAAATAAAACCATCCTTTCAGGAGAAGACCGTCAACGCCTCCCCAGGATAAAAAATAAAACATGCTGCCACGCGAGGGTGCAATTCAGTGAGTATGACACCGCGATCACTCCCATTCAAACCAAATCGTAGGGTCCTTTCTCGTATGTCATACGTAAAGCGAAGCACATCGCCGTTGCGACACACAGGCAGCTGCTGAACAATTGGAGTGGGGCGGCCAATATGCCCGTCAACGACACCGCTCTTCGTAGGGCACCAGTAGAAACCCTCAGGGATGGCAGCGGCGTCTGTCTTCTCAACAACACCAACAAAAGACTCTGTAATGAGCTCCAGTCGTATCCGCCATGTAACACAGCCTCCATCTTCAGGAAAAAGAGTTCCAACAGTCTCCATAAGTTCCCTGCTTCGCACACCTATTTGGGTCGATCCGCCTCCCCCACGTGCAACGCAGCGCAACAGAACACCGTCACCTTTCAGAGTGGCTTCCACATCATCATCAACGGGAAATGTCAAACGCAACGGTGTTTCTGGAGGCAGTGTCGATCCCCCAACAAAGTTTCGGTTGCCATTCGTAGCTTCACTCGGTTGACGGGTTGTCATGCCTCCTGAGGGTGGACCATTGTTCGGTTTCCTTTCCGTCGAATCGGTGTTATGCAGCTCCACGCCATGCACGGTTTGTAGATCCAAATGGAGCTCCAACCCCGAAATCATCATGTCACCGAGATTGGAGACTTTGAATCCGCTTCCCGTCACGGTGGGGGTCTCAGTCTTGAGGAAACTATAGAGAATTGAACGGCTCTCCAATACTTCGTGATCAGAACCACCACTCCGCAGATGTTGAAAGCGCAGCGTGGCCTCATTCAACGCGTTGAGCTTCGTCAAAAATAGTTTCCGCGTCGATGTGAGTGAGGCGTCTCCCGATTCTCTGAGCGTTGCAAGTAACTTGCGCAGCTCCACTTCCCGCTGCATCAACTGTTGTTTGAAGTGATTAAAGCGTTCCGTGATGATGTTTTCGACACTATCGTATGAGTTAAAATATTGGGCGGTCACGCGGTTGAGTTCACTGGCTTGACTTTCAAGAACCGTCTTTTTCTGTGTTATCAGGCCCATGTCACGCGAGAGCTGCTGCCGGATATCAGCCGCTGCCCGGGCGGCACCCATATTCTCATGATTTTTGTGAGGCCCAACCTGAAGACAATACGCACAACACATTTCCTCGCACTGAGAACAGTAAAACTCGGCACGATACTCTTCATGACCACGAACATGGCATTTTTTTTGCATTCCTCGCAGCTTCTGTTGACTCCCGATTTTTGCTGTCACATGGCCCCGTTTAGCAGCGCTCTTGTGCACGGCTATGTTGCAATCATTGCAGTAGACGAACATGCATTCATGGCACTGTACGGCTGCAGGAACTTCTTCGCACCACTGGCACATGGGTGCACCATCCGTCCCCTCCGCTATCATTTTCACATGGCTAGCAACTCTGGCGTCAGAAAAACTCTGCAGGTTTCGTGCCGACACCGCAGCGTGCAGTACATTGCAGAGGGGACATGCAAAACCGTCACTGTTTTGAGATTCCAACTTGGCGCGCACACAGTCAGTGCAATAACTGTGCCTGCAGTCAAATGTGAGCGGGAGTTTCAAAACGTTAAAACAAAGTCCACATGTAACGCCACGCGGCTCCTCAATTCTGCCATCTGTGTCCGTCGCCATGGGAACATTCCTTTCCAACCCCGTTCCGCCCGCCAACTGTGAAGGAAACCCCGGTTATCCAGAGTTTTAATTCATTCCCCCCCGCATGGCAGGGCAGACCCCCCCCCCCCCAAACCCCCAAACAAAAAAAACCCAAAAAAAAAAAAAAAACATAACAAAAGAAAAAAAAAAAAAAAGGGCGCCTTGAAGCAATAATTTCCATAAACACTCATCAAAAACCCCACACGGAAAATGCCACAAAAATATACATTTACATACGCATGGAGACGGGTGACAAAAAAAAAAAAAAAAAAAAAGGAAAAAAAAAAGGAAACCGGTTACAAAAGGCCCAAGAATTAATTTCTTCTGTGTGTCTATGCATCTTGGAAGTAGGCGAGTACCGTGTTGGTGGCGAAAAAAAGGAAAACAACATCAACAGCAGACGTCGGCAAGAAGCGTATGTACGGCTTCGCCATCAGAAGGGCCCAATAAACACAATAGAGAGCGTTTAAAAGCAGGCAAACATATGTGACTGCATCGTCCATCAATTGGGCTCCGTTGCTTCGCCTTGAACACCATTAAACAGCAAGCTTAACCAAATTTTTTCTACCATAAATAAATGTCATACACACACACACAAACACACACACACACACACAATTACCCACTGCGCCACGCCGTTATAAAAAGAAAGACGGTGAGAGTAAGAGAGAGTTTTATACGGAATAGACGAAGTCCATATCTCGTATTATTCCACTTTCTTTATTCCTGGCATTTTATTACTATCTTTTGGGCGTCTGCCCGTTTCTATGTGCGTTTGCGGTCAAGAAAATTCAAACAACCTTCGCTTTTTTTTTTTTTGTAAATAATTGGTTGCAATAATGCTCTCCACCACAGAACTGTGTAAATGCCCTCAGTCAGCGTTCGTCTCTCTCATATTATATGCGTTGGTTTGCTTCAATAAATATGAAACGACACGCCGTATCCTCCTAGTAATGCACATCTTCTTTCCATCTTCCTCTCCCCCACCTAGCGTCACCTCTTATTTATTCACCTCAGGAGGTGCACACGCTTAGGATCCATGCGACGCCTTCCTCTAGACCCATACCGGACTTGGCGCTGCATCCCTGAATGTGCCACTTACGGTCACGGGACTCCTGCAGATGAAGCGACTCTGCAATCACTTGTGGCGTCTTTGCTGTCGCAAGATCTTGTTTATTCGCAAGGACCAGAACAGGTACCCCCGGGATTCCGTTCAGCACATCCACAAATGACGTGTGGGCCTCCTCAAGGCGGCGGTGATCGGAGGAGTCCACCACGTACATGATGCAGTCCGCGTTATTGTAATAATCCTGCCAGTACTCTCTCAACGCCCGCTGACCACCGAGATCGCACAACTTCGCCCGCCGATCACCACGCGTCAGAGTCTTAATGTTAAACCCGTGCGTTGGCCCTTCCGGTGCCGCGGGGGTTTTGCGAGTATTCTCGTCATCGTTGACGTCGCTCTCACCAAGAGTATTCAGTAACGTCGTTTTCCCTGCATTGTCCAGTCCCACAATAAGTACGCGAGGCTCATTCTCGCGCCTCACTCGATTCCGAAGACCCTTTAGCATTCCTGCAGAGTGGCTGTGGGCGCGGTGTCGCGTAAGCTCCTTCCTGCGAAAATTCAAAAAAGCAAAAATAAATAAATAAATTAAATAAATAAAGAGCAGTTGTTCCGAGAATGCTCCGTCTTTTCCACCTCACAACAAAACAAAAGGTCATAAAAGATAGGGGAGGAGGAAAAGCCCCTAGTCGGGGTGGGAGAAATACACGGCATTAACCCCATCTGTAAAAAAATATGAAAAAAAAAAAAAAAAAAAAAGAAAAAAAGTCATCCGTCAAAGCAAAGTCAAGTGAAAAAAAAAAGATAAAAAAAAAATAAAAAAGAGTGTTTTTGTAACAAATTCGTGAGTCCTTCAAGACGATGGACGGCAGAGTGCGCATACGCCGCTGTTCAGGCAGGACTGCAGAAGTTGGGTACTCAGTAGAACCTGGTCACGTGAGCCAACCGTGTCAGCGAGCCACTGGGCAAGTTCCATTGAGCGGCTTTTCAAGTCTGCAACCTCGCGATCCAACGCAGCCATCTGCCTCGCATGATGCATCTGAATTTCTGCAAATTCACGCTGCTCCAACTCCAACTGGTCCTTCAGTTGGATGGCGGCAACATCATCGCCCGCCGGCAAGGCATGTGCAGCGGCCGCATCGGATTGTGGTGCGGTTCCTGCGCCAAGGCCGGCTGCCCGCAACGCATGCGCTTCCATCGCTTCTTTGATAGCCTGTTCAATTCGCTTCTTCTCGCCACACAAACGGACCAATTCGGCGTCGAGTTCTGCGGCACTTTGTTGAAGCGGGGCCGCTGCATCATCCTCCCCCCAAGAGCGCTGCACCTCGTCCAGGTCACGTGTCTGCTCACGCCACGTCGTCACGAGGATAGTCGCCTTCTCCAGCTGGGCTCGCGCGTGCTCGATAAGAAGCGCCTCCTCCACCTCGCTCTGACGGACTGTGTCCATACCGGCCATTAACTGCAGCTGTAGCTGCCGCTGCTCCTCAAGGAGGTGGTCCAGCTCTTTCTTCAGCTCCACTGCCCGAACCTCATTCTGTGCAGTCTGTTGTTCCAGCTGCTGGTGTTCCTCAGTGGAAAAGGCCAGTCGCGTCTCGGCTTCTTTGCGCTTCATCATAACAACACGACGGCGTGTCTCCACACCATTGAGGTGGTCCATCAAAGAAGACACCGACGACTCCATCAAATTGAGAATTAAAAAAAAAAAAAACAAAAATCCAAACTTTTTCCCCTTCTCACACGTTTTTTTTTTTTTTGATGTAGTTTTGTCTGCCTTACAGGTGAAGTAAACGCCCTTTGAAAGCCGGAAACAACACCCTCCTCTCCAGAAAAAAGGCAAAACAAAATTCCACAAAATATTGGCACGCATAATGTAAGATCAATGGTACTAAGCAATCTACACCAAATAAGGACATCAACCTCATTTGCATATGCGTAAGATACATACATACTTACATGTATATTCTTTCGTACACCACTGCTAGAGTCTGTGTCTTCCATCAAAAACCCTCTTTTTTTTTTTTTTTTTTTTTCAATTTCTGCTGGCGTTTCAAAAAGAATATTAATCCTCTCTTTCTCTCTAAATAAGCTGGCACTTCTCAGGTGCAGATAACATTGCAGCCTGAGTGTCAGTTGCAGCAAAATATTTCAACTTCACACTTCCTTTTCAAACTAAACGAAACTCCATTTGGGGTTTTCACAGGCCACAGTCTCGAAGTCTTCTTGGATTTCTTTATCCAACGCCTCGCACTCGCACGCGATCCAGTATCCAATAAATTGTCCACTTTCTGCTTTTAAAGAATTTCTTTCTGGCGCAGGTTGCCCAGTAGGGGATAACGCGGCTTCCTCGTCCTTCTTGCCGCTCTCCTCATCCACTGCTCCCTTTCCTCCCTCTTCAGCAACCCTCTCTCTCTCCGGTGAGTCCAGGGGCAAAAAGCACCCAGCCAGCAACTCATACGATGCCCAGAGAGACTCGTCGCACTGCTCCACGATACGGGGAATAAGATCCTGGCAAATTCGACGTGCTTCTTCTATGGTGTTATCTGGAGATAACACAGATGTCATCACATCAAAGCGGCATCCAAACAGTACACCGCGCACAGTGAGGAATAGAAGTTTTCTTTCCAACAAACACTCCTCGCCAACCACTTCCTCCACCTCCAATGAGAAAGGAATTCCCGTAGCCAAAAAGGCAACTATCATAGGCGTCTCTTGTAACAATTCACTAAGACAATCGGCGATGGCCCCACGTGATATTGTCACCTGTGCGTACGCTCCTGATGGGAAAAATGACTCTTCCTCAATACACACGTCATAAAAAACGCCGGTAGAGATGCACATGACCCCTTCCTGGGTTATCTCAATTTTCGTCGGGTAGGGTTGAGTTGCAAGAAGTGAACTATATCCATCTATCCGTATGACGGAAGGGGCGCTAGCAGGTGCAGCGATATTCACTACAACACACTCCTTGTCAGACTTCCCTTTTAAAAGAATATCACCAAAACGTAGGGTGGGAAGTGTTGCCGTAATCCCAACGCCATCCGGAGAAATAATAGCAAAAGCATCACCCCTAAAATCCAAAATACAGATATTTCCACTTCCAAAAACTCTTAACTCAGAATAGCACATCTTGAGATTAAATGAACATGCGACAGGAACGTTCCGCAGCCAATCCATGTTCTGCACTTGAGACAAAGAGTTAACCATATAATTCCCAAGGTGGATGAATTTCGCCAGCTGCAAACTCACAACCTGCAGCGCAATGGACTCATGACCACGATTTAGGCGTACCTGAAAAAACTGACAATCGTAGCTGCCGCATGTCGGTGTCGTCAGGGTGCCCGCTACCGTGAAGAAAGGCTCCACAAATGACTGTGGTGCTTCTCCAGCCACAAGATCAAACGAGATGTTCAGGTCCGTGATAAATGCGTCCGGGAAACGACAAAGAACCGGCACATGCGCACTGGGAGACACACCACGGACCGCTATTCGGTCTTCGGTCTGATGAAAGACTCCCAAAAGAGTTATTTGTACAGGTGGATCTTCAGCCGCACCCTTAAATACACTGTTGTGGGTAAAAAACGTCACTTTGGAAAAGTCATCCTCGGCACCGGTTTGCTCCATCACCGCGGTATCTCCTTCCTCTCCAATATCCCTCTCCACATTAAGCTGAACCTCAAATTCAATGCTTTCAATTTTCAAGCCGGGTATGGAAAAGTTAATACCCTCTCCTGGTAGTGTGAAGCAAACAAGGCCTGTGCTGCTATGCATCGAGGGCGAGGTAAACACCACTTCCGTTTCGTAATTCCCAAGAAACTCCTTCGAATATATCATTTGAAGGCAATCAAAAAGAGGAAATGGGCAGGCTGTAAGAGGCATGCGTTGGAGAAAGTTCACCCCTGGAAGTATCCTAAATGGAAACGTGGCAGGAAAGCAGGCTGCCCCGGGTATCGTCAAATTGTATTTGGAGGTAAATTTCACCTGATTGAGGGCAAATACAATCACCATGGGTCGTTCTGTAAATCCCGCGTAGTAAAGGAGTGGAAGTTCTGGAAAATGCTCCGCCGCGATCCAGTTGTCCCGCTCAATATTTATTGTAATAATAACAGAGGCCAGGTGCGGACTGAGTGGAGTCATAGAAGGGTGAAAAAGAAGATCTGTGTTCTTCTGCAGCTGCACTGACAGACTCCATAAGACAGTAAGGGAGGCACGTACGTTGTGAAAGCCATAAAAGCTTTCCACCAATGTACCTGTCTCATAAAATTTTGGATAAAACCAAGAATTATTATCAGCCGAACGCACAAAATCACGAGACAGTAACATTGGATGTTCCACCAGCTGATTTAGTTCATCCACATTACAACCGTAATTTATTGTGGCTTTGTAAAGTAGATACATGATGTCATTGCTCAATGTTTGACCAATGGAGACAAATTTGTCATGAGGTGGGTTCTTTTCTTTTGTAGCCTCTTTTGAAGTCTTAGCAACAAAATTCATAAAGCGCGCTCTCAGTCGAATTACACCCTTTGCCAAACGTCCATGACGCTCAATATCATTTGGTTCCCGAAGACCACTTAAAACGCTTCTCGCTTGATCAAAACCTTCGCGGCAATTCTGACAGAACTCTTCCTCATAATTGAAGGCGGCGTCCTGCCATTTGCTGTACATCGAGTGACTGGCCATGCATGGTATTGGTGGGGCCAACGCGGTAGTGGCACCAGTCTCCTGAAACCAGGTGACCTGCCGCAACTCCAGGTTCTCATCCTCTCGAATTCCTTTAAACCTGATCCGCCAGTACGAGGAGGCTACATTCGTCGGCCATGAAAGAGAATTGCCCAGTTGGGAGAAGGGACGCTCTGCAATCGGGACAAAGTTCACGCCATCCTCACTTGTCTCCACCACAATTGTAATACAGCTCCCGTCTTCTTCCTTCTGCATTTCCTCTTCAGCTTCTCCTTCAGTGTTGCCATTCCCTTCTCCCTCTGACGCACCAGCAAGAACAGTCGTCCCAGCACGTGTTGACGCTTTCGTGGATGAATTCATCGTAGGTGTAGATTTCTTGTGTTGTGAAAGAGACGACAGAGACATTGAACGGATCAGATCGGTAAATCTACGTCCCTTCAAAAACACTTGATGAAAAAGTGGCGTTGTGCCCTTCTCAAAGCACCATGTAACCGTCATTACTTTTTGCTGTCCTATGGAGCGTAGCACCACGGTATCCGTTTTATTTTCGGTGAGACGCCCAGGGGCCTGCACCTCCAAAAAACCGGTCGTGGTAACCCCTACAGATGGGATATCACTCAGTTTTGAGGAAACAAGCATCTTTCCACTAAAACTGTACCACTGAGCGCTCATGTCCGTGGAAAGAGAAGGAGGCGACACCACATAACCCTCTTCAAAATTCTGCACAGCAGGACGCAAACGCCAACAAGAAGAAGACCCCCTCGGCACCCACCCCTGATGCACAGTCCGTGATTGTGTCGTGTCACTGTTCTGGATGATCGCAACTTCCTCCCAAGCGGCACCGTCAGGTGAGAGTTTCTCCACGATATACACGGAGTCAGGCGGCAACACTACTTGTACAGCAACCATTTCTTTCGGCTCAGCTCCAAAGTGAAATACCTCGAAGCCGGGGCTTTCTGCATTCACTTTTTTAGGCTCTACGACACGGTACAGCGTCGGCTTAAAAGTTTCAAAACAGATATCGCGAAGTGTAAGGAAGGATGGTCCTGTGTGCTGCACAATACGAAGACGCCAGAACTGATAATAATCGCCACTTTCCCATGCCGCTTGCGCGGAGCCATTACGTAGTAAAAGGAACACATTGAGTGTTCGCCATTCTACAGCGTCCAAACTGCATTCGACAACAAACGTGGTGGATGTACTTTGTTTCTCGTGACTCACCAGGCGCACGCCGACAACATGGGCAGAGTCTTTCTTGTTTTCAAACACCAGTGCCGTCCCCACGTGCGCCAAAAATGTCATGGGTGTCACTTTGCATCCAGCGGAGTTCTTTTCCCACAGAATCGATGGATCCCATCCATCCCCGACCGGTGTTGAATTCTCAACAGCAATGGAAGGACCAGAATACTCAAAGAGGTAGAAATTCTCAAACAACACGTTGGGCTCCCACGTTTGCAGTTCAATGCGCCAGTACCGTCGAGGGCCCCGGGGTTTCCACGAGGCTTTAAAATGGCCAAAACGACTACGCCACAGCCCACACTGCTCCCAACGGCTCCCATCGTCACTACACCAGACGCCCCATACGGCATTTACCCGACCCCCCACACACCGGCAGGTAAACGCCATGAGATTAGGGGACTTCAAGACCCCATACTCAAGCGTCACATGATGTGTTTTCGGATTATGTTCATTCGCAAATTCCGTTAAACTCTCAAAAGCCACTGTTGTTTTTCCCTTCATAAATAACTCAGAGATGGGTCCATTTAATGTACCCGACAAGGCAATTTTCTGCGCCGACTGCAAATACGGCGTACAGGGCAAAGTGTAGAAGACGACACTCATATAGAATACCGGTTGATTTCTCACACAATAACTTTGCGTCGCATCTGTGGTTAAACGCCAAAGTCGATGAGAAGTAAATTCCACGCTCGCCAGTCCCCACATTGTGCGACTGAGCCCGGAGGATTGCAGGTGATGACCAACAGTTTTCCAGTCCAACCCATCATCGCTATATTCAATAAGCCAATCCTCATCACAGGGTTCGGAACTTCGAATTACGATTCCAACCAGAAGTGGCTGTTCTTCCATGAAATCAATGTGAATCACGGAGCTGCGTCGCCTCTTCCCCCAATTCAGGTACCACGTCATGGAGCTAAATAAATCCATTTGACTTACACAGATTGGTCCTACGCGGTCGGACACAATACCGTCGGTCACTGTTTGAAAAGCCACACGATCCTCACAGAAGACATAGAAGCATCTGGGATCTTTAGGGAAGGAGGTAACGCATAAAATCGTTTTTCCGTCAAATTCCTTGTGATATAAATAGGGGCAGTTCCGAAGAAGCATCGGCCCCTCCACAACCTCCGCCGTGAAAATGTTCCAGCGCAGTACCTGTTGAGAGCGTATAAGAAAGAATTCACCGGGGCAATCCCATATTTGAACAATGTCTTCAATTTGATCCATGCTCCACGGTAGTCCCTTAAAGAACAAATTAGGATCATTTGGGTTGCTCTGCAGTTCTTCAGAGCCCAACTTCAAATTCCACAAAATAATCTCCTTTCCATGAACAATTGCCACGACAGATGGGGTTTGTAGATTGGGATAAAACACGGCGTCAAACCCACATAAAAAGGGATATGGTAAATGAGCGAAGCCGGGGTGGCTCGCGAGAGGGATCGTGCGGTGTGAAACCACAATGTTACTCCTCAGGTCCAATTCAACAAAGTTTTTCCCACAAAAAAAGAGACAAAATACCCCATCGGGAAGAAGCGGCAGAATGCAATGTTTCTCTAACCAACCATCACTTGAGGAGGATGCAAAGACGGCTCCAGGAGCGAGATAGTTCAGTAGTTCCGCAGGTTTACAAAGAATATGAGGTGCCGTGATGTTGACTCTGATTGAATGATGCGGTTGGAGCGGAACACTGGGATCTAAAGGAATGGCTTCAAGTGCTCGCAGAACCTCATACCATAAAAGTCGCACCACACCTGTGCCCACAGGCAATCGTGTTATAAAACGAAGACGCCAAAAGCGCGCTGCGTGTGCGTCACCCCAACAAGTGGCAGTGACATAAGGTGTAAGAACAAAACACGTGTGTTTAACGTACACAATGCCGTCATCACTACTCTCAACGACAGCCCTAATCGGCGCCACACGAAGCACTCGATAATCTAATCGTGTTGTATCTAGCACGACTACAAGGGCGCCAAAGGCAACGGGATACGTGAAACCGTAATCTACCTCTATCACCTGCGGCAGATAACCAAGCAGACTTTCCTCGGTTTGAACAAAGACGACCTCTTCACAGAGCAGCGAGGTCACATTGCACGTACCATCCTGCCTGGTGAGAGATAAGAGATCCATCAATTCTTCCCGTTTCTGAGTGAGTGTGCTGGTAATAGTTTCCGCCAGTTGCCCTCCATGGTCCAGATTATTCAACACAACGCCACATCGATTGCACTCCGCGTCAAGAACATGCTTACAAACACCATGCAGGGCAGCAGTTGTCATCTGCTGTAGAGCTTGCGGAAGTCTTGATAAAGAGGTTGAGGGAACCGTCTGGTATTCATCGCTTTTCATTGTTGACACAGAAGGGGCAAAACTGTGAACAATTACCACGCGACCCTCTCTTCCAATCAGCATTACACTCATCTTCTCCACGTCGGCCAATTCCCCTCCTGTCTCAGGGGGTTTTCTCTTTCCTTCCCATTCGTTCTTCTTGTCGCACTCGATTTCCTTTTCGACACTCCAAAGTAATGTTGTCATGGGCCCGTACGGAAACAGCCGTGCAAGAGTTGTGTTAAACGTTGGAAGGTTCTTCTCACTCTTCGTCATGTCGCCAATACGTTTCACGGTATCAACAGGTCGCCGCTGTTCAAGGTCCATGAGTATATACATAAGCTGCGAAAACAAAAAGGCATAAGAAGTATTTGGAACGGGCACAGCAGCATCAATCTTGCGAAAAAATTCCTGCGGCAGCGCCGCAAACTGCTGGTGAAGTTGTAGTTTAAATGGCCCCCCTGTGCAGGTCTGCCAGTACGTGTCCCACTCAATCCATTGCTCCCCGCAGAAGAAATATGCAGTACGTGGATTCACTGGCGAGTGCAACACACAGTCAAACCCGGTAGCAAAGGGGAAACGACACGTGAAAGGGTTCTCCAATATGGGGTGCAATGGCTCTGTGATGGTGTGGTTTTTGGTGTTAAAACAACATGTGTGGTCCTTGATAAAAAACAAAACATAATCTGTCAATTTACCATCCGCCTCTGTAAGACGGACGGAGTGCCATGGATGACCGACAAGCGACAGGGGAACACTGTCATTCTCCAACGCCATCGATCGAGCTGTGGACACCGAAGCAGTGCCAGGCCCGAAAGGGTATTGGCCAGTTGACTGCCTGGTGCTTCGACTGAGACTAGGAACTCCCCTCATCAACTCCCTCCGTTCTCTTAACGTCTTCCAGCGGTTTTCCAGTCTATTCATAAATGCATCCCGTGCTTCCTTTCCCGACTTCTTCCCACCCGTGACCTTGGCAAGTCGTTTGGACGAGGGCCTCCCACGTCGAGAAGGCTCAGGAGCTGGCGCCGCTATCCTTATTGGCAAACTTTTCTCTGCTTCCAACGACGTCCACTGAATTCGTGTCCATCGTCGCTCAAGATCGGCAGCTCTCAGACACTCGGCATGCTTCTGTAGTAAGACGGGAAGTGGTGGATACTGTGATATTTGCTGGACGAGAGCATGAACCCACTCGACCGACCTCAACCCCAGCACCTCATGGAGATAGAATAGAAGAAGTGAGCGCGAGTTGCCCATAAAAACAATTTTCCGTAACGTCCTCAAAAGTTCTTCCTGGGTCTCCGCCACATCACGGTCGCAGCCGCGGTAAATAAAAAATATCGGAGGAGGAAGGTGGCAAAGGGCCTCAAACACAATCTTGGTGACCTCAAGGCGGTGCCGTGTTTTCCAGTTGAGGGCTTCAATACATAAGTAATGCACTTCCTTTAGAAGTGGAATTTGCTCCGCTAACTCCATGACTTTTTTGGGCAATATTCTTGCGGCGTAAAGGTTTCGTCTGTGACCCCGTAACGTCATGTATGCTCCGGCGTCAATAAAAATGTACGCATCACCTGTGACGTATAAATTAAAAATTCCACGCGGAATGTAGAAGAAGCCGTTGTTTCCAACACGGGGCCCAAAGTTCCCCTGACAAATGAGGTAAAACGCATTGTCAATGTTCGTCTGACCAACAACCTTGAATGTTGTCAGAAAACCTCGCTTTAATGGTGACTCGTTCTTCACCACACCTCCTGGAAACGCAAGCCACTCTAGAGAGAACTTCATGGCAACTAATACCGCACGTCGTTGCTTTCGAAAAGCCCAAAGAGCCGCTCGTGTGTTGTCAAACATATTTCCATGTGGACCGTCAATGAGATACACTCCCTGCCGTCGTCGAGAAAAGGCAACCCGCACAATATTGTCCACATCGGCATATTCACTCCATTTTTCCCAAGAAACATAGCGACTTCGTGGAGGTCGTTCTTTTCTTCGGTCAAAAGGCCCCAAACTTGCGGGCAAACACCCAACAACTTGCACAGCTTCACATGCATGACGCAATTCCATCCCCAACACATGAGACGGTAGCCGTGCAAGATGCCGACCAAACGCAAAGACCATGTAAGGGTCAATGGCCACACCATCCATGTCTGACATGGCACTCGCAACGGTTAGTGCACAAGTTGTATCTTCTTCGTCCAGTTCTTCAATGTATGCCGCCGAGAAGTTGAGGACGGCAAAATTTTCAATAGGCAAGTTTGTGAGTGGAATATCGAGTAAAGAAACATACTGATCATTTTTTTTGGAAGAGGGTCGTAAAACGCCGCCGTAGCCGTAAATACCAAACCTCACAAGATGCGTCACACACTTCTTTGAGCAGGGACGAATATCCGTGTACTGCATCATCAACTTTGCAAGACGGAACAACGCCGATGGGCGCAAAACGGAACCTTCCGCAATTTCTTTACAGACACGACGCATCGCCTGCAATCCCCCATTCGGAAGACAGACTGCATGGACCCCACATATAGAACATTCTTCCTCCACCTCATCCAATATATTTCTTCCGTTGCTGTCATCTTCATCCTCTTCGTCGTCCTCATCGACGTCGTACTTATCGCTGCACGTAACTCTCGTCCGTAAATTATCCCCAACATGTATGTCGTTGTTGTTTACTGTTTTTACCGGTTTCCCCAAAGGTGTCTTTAGAATGCCTTCCACACACCGTCTAAGAATGGGATTCGCTGGATACGCGGTCTGCTCACCGGAGAAACGTTTGCCAACCACTGCATGCATTGCAGTAAGAATATCTTTCGTGAGATGCAGTCGACATTCACCGGAGCATAAAAATAGGACCCCATCATCCACCTCACAGCAGGCCAAAATACAACGGAACATGGCCTGGAGAGCCACCCCTGTTTGGGCAGGCAGCATGGTATCCAGTTCTTCTCCAAGCGACAGGAGGAGACGACCCTCAATTTTCTGGTCGGGGGAATGAATGACGGGCCTGTTACACACCAGACACCGCGAGGCTAATACCGTCAATTCCGCATTGGCAAAGCACTGCTTCTGAATGGAGAGATACTTTGGCGTATCCTCGTCCACCAGAATCTCTGTCACATGGGGGTTCTGCACAGCAAGGGTGAGAAGACGGCGGGCGGCGGCCACTGTCAATGTAATGCCCCGCAGGTCGATCTTCCTAAAAGTGTCATGCGACCCAAACGTTTTTTGAATCAATTCAACATCTTCGGTGGTGACCTCACAGTTCCGCATGGACAACTCCACCACGGGTAGCCGCTGCAGTGTCGAGAGGATGGGAACAATGCCCCGCTCGCCCAGGTAGCCATTCTCGAAGTCGAACACAGTCACACCGGCAAGCAGCTGCTTCAAAAAGGTGTTGTTGGGGTTCACACTGTGGTTCCTGCATTCTTCGAGGTAAAAAGCCTCCGATGCCGCGGGCGTCAGGCGTAAACGAAAAACAGAGTCGTCAAAAGCCAATTGCTGAGCGGAATGGGTTTGTGTCGTCTCGGTGTCCAGTGCAGGGCTCACAGCACAACTCATTATCTCCTTCTTCCTCTATATCCCTCTCTATATTTCCGTGTTCTTCTCTTCGGCAATCGTGCCGCGTGCTCTTCTCCCGTCTGTCAACATCAACGGAAACAAACGAAAGCCAGCAAAAAAAAAAAAAAAAAAAAGACGGACATGATGCTCAATGCAAAAAAAACAAAAACAAAAAGCCTCAAATAGTGATAAAAGGCAGTATAATATATGGACCGTTTATTGCTTCCACACTTCCTCCGCAGTTTCTTTTCCGCAATTTCTCATCAACTGGCAGAGTACAAATGTATTGGCACAACTTTCCTAAGCAACTGGCGACCCTGCAGTTTGACTAAAACGTTGGCATCAAAAACAACGCGTATGTTTGGCGTCTTGAGGGAGGGGCACGTGTACCATCGAGGGAATATCATGTAAATGGGAATCTCAAGGTTGCGGAGTACGTTCCCATCCGCAATCTGAATGGTTTGCAGCTCTGTCACTTCTCGCACGATTTTCCCCGGCGTTGCCGCCTGCTCCACTCGCTGCATTTGCAGTTCAATGGAAAGAATCTTAGCGCTACACCGCCGCACGACAATCCAGCCGGAAAGAGGGATATCAATATCGTTATAATACCGATCAAAGCATCCCTCAAGAAGAAAATTGGGATTCACGCGGTCGCTGGGTGTGGGACGATCGCACAGCACCTCCAGACTCTCTTCATTCAATTCAAACCGAACACCTGTGTCTTCCTTCAGCACATGCGGCGGTGGTTGACCCTGGCCGGGGACAATAACATAAATAGGCACCACTTCACTCACGTCGCTGCTCATGATTCCAGTAGAAATCGCGACAATGGTATAATTACATGTGACATGGACCCCAGTATACGTCTGAACGAGCGGCACATCTGGATGGGACGCCCTAATTTCAAACGTAAAGGGCACCTCAGTTTTCCCAGCGGGAATCTGCGTGCCGCGACGACAAAGTGGAATCTGAAGGCTCATTACCTTCAGTGGTTTGATATTGCCAACCCTGCGGAAAACCGAGGCGTTCTCTCCATATGGGAATTGTATGGCCACGACACCAAGCACAGTCAAATTAATATCGACAAAACTGGATGACGTGGCGTAGTTCACAACGACGCAGCCGGTAACCTCCTCACCAGCGAAATACGTCCCTCCCACACGGTCCAGCTGAACCGTCAGCGGGTTCTGCACTTTTGCCTGCATCACAAATGCAAGCGTGTGCCTCCCTGTTAGGACACCCACCGCCCCCTTCCCCTTCGGCCCCCCTGCGGCTGTGAAGGCGAGAGAGAGAAAAAAGAAAATAAATAAATAAATAATTGTCCTCCAGAAATAAAGTAAAAAATTCTCATCTCTCCCCGCACCACTTTTCCTCATTTCTCTCATTTCTCTCGCCGCCGCAACATCAACACTAACAACAGCCGTGGGAATGGTGTCGTGCCTTCGTTGCCCTCTTCACGCGGAACGTTCCCAGCATGCGCCATTTCCACGATGCTTCTCTTCCTTCACACAAAATCGCCTCACCACCGGGAAGGCTGCGCACCCACCACACAACAACAACAACACACACACACACACGCATGAAAAAAAAAAAAAATAAAATAAAATAAACCACCGAAAACGCACGTGCATACACACAAAAAACGAAATAAAACAAAACAAACAAACAAACAAAAAAAAAAAAAAAAAAAAAAAATGACGACGCAGCACCGCAGCCATCAGAGCAGCATCAGAAAATGGCGAAAAATGAAATGCAAAGGAGAACACAGCGGATGTACAACAACAACAATAACAAAACAGAGGCGCAAAAAAAAAAAAAAAGGAAAACAACAGTTCCCTTTTCATCTCTTCGATTTCCTTCCGTCATGTCTTTTGATTAATCCCCCCCCTCAGTTCTATTCATCTACAGTGCCTTCTCACATAATTCCACTTTTTTTTTTTTTCCTCCTTCTCCTTTTCTTGTCGTGTTTTTCTTTCATTTTCCTCTTCTTTTATTAATTATTCGATCATCCTTGAATTTTCGGGACCTCATCTCAATGACATGCATTCAACGCGCTCCCACTTTCCACCCATCTCCTTCACCACCCAAGAGACAATACATATATGTATTCATTTATATGTGTATGAATGCATTTGTGTGTATGCATTTTGAATATCTCCATTATTTTTACTTCAAGACCCGTTGACAAGCTGCACAAAAACATCAAGGAGCAACGGTTTTATTCGGATGGGCATCGTCACTGTAAACTTCGCAGTTATCGGAACTCTTTGAAGATCCCGTTTGCGGAGAATCTGTCATGTTGGCAAATGGCCAAGTGTGCCGTGCCAGATATGATGTAACCATCGATTCCACCACCGTAACCACAACAGCCGACACCGCCTCAGCGGAGTTCTCGGGAATCATCACAGAGAACCCGGCGATGTACGCCCGTAAAAACATCTGAAAAGGAATCATTGCGAGGACGCGTTTCGTGCGGCAACTTTTGCTGCCCAGTTTTCTTCTCCGGTAGTACAGTTTCACAAGTGTGAGGACAACCGACGGCGCCTGCCATGCAAAAAAGTCCAGGTTCCAGTCCGAGTCCGATGAAAAGGCATACATGGCGTAGGCGGCAAAGTTGGCGGGTGAAAATCGGTCCAGCAGAGAAAGCGTATCCGACCACCCGGTCATGGTGTAGTCCAAAATAAAGCGTGGTGTTGTCACGGCAGCAAGATAGCGCACGGGGCAGATCATGGCCGAAACGCCTATTTCCATCCCTAGGGATGCCACGTACGGCACAGATTCTCGTTCCCACATCGCGAGAGAACCTTCCCTGCGAAGCACGTACCTTGAAAACAAACCACAGCCCACATAGTGCGAGAACGAACACAGGCAAAGACGCATGATAGATCCACATAAAAGTCGAGCCGTCTCTACCCGTGTATTGATGGGCCGAAGATAGTCCATGGCATCTAATTTAATCCCCTGGCTCTTAAAAACGCTATAAAAGTGAGAACAGCAGTAAACACACCCACACACGCACGTAACTAAATTTAAGCGTCACCACTCTCGCCTTCTTGCTTTTATTTTCTTTATTTTATCTGAAAAAATGAAAAGCCATCAAAGAGTCAAAAGCAAATAAAAAAAAAAAAAAAAAAGAAAAAAAAAACATCTCTACCAGTAAAACAACACGAACAAAAGGAATCACACACACACACACATACACACATGCACCCACGCAGAGCCATGTTTCCTTTTTCCTAAATTTCCTTTTAAATTTTCCGCACCACAACCAATGACGCGGTTAATAAGCAAGCAGATTTCATCCGGGGGCAGTGAACGGCGGGACTTTTGACCATGGGAGCTTAATGGTGGACGACACCAACAGGAAAGGCTTTGGAAGATTCCCCGAGGCAGGGGAAAGAAAGGAAAAAAACCTTTTCCCAATCTCTAGCAAAACTATAAAACCCGCAATGTTTGCCTCATCTACCGACTCCAAAGAATCAGACCAGGAAACGGCAGCCACGCTCAACGGCGCCACCTCTTGCCACGAGAGCACCTCCAATGTGAGCGCATTCAGAAAATACACGTCCTTTACAAATGCAACGCCACGGTAAGGCGACAAGGGGGTTCGTAGTGTGCCCTTAAAATAGGTCAGCAATTGCTCTGTACGTGATTCACAAAGTTGCGATCGACCACGCTGAAACAGGCGGGGCTGTTTTGGATATCGCAGAAGGGTGATGCTGTGTCCAATCGCAGCCCTCCGTAACTCCTCCGCGAGGTCCTCATCCGACCCACAAACAACCACATGTGTGATAGAGAAGACCGAAATCAGTTCGAATAGGATGTCCCGCCCAATGCCTGTTGTCCAGCCCATTGTATTCACAATAACCCCACCTATTGCATACTGTGGTTTCGACATACAGACCGAAGCAATGGCCTGCGAAGTGAAGGCACACAAGTCCAAATACCGTTTTCTCGAAGATGCAGTGACAGTTTTATCGCCAAAGAAAAAAATCAGGGGCATCATGGTGTTAAATCCATCGTCCACGGGTATGTATTCCTCTATAAATGCGGTTGCAATACTCCCAGGACAGGCGATGCCTTGCTGACCGACATCCGTATCTACAAGCGCAACACCGTACTTTTTGTCCGAAGTCGCCAAGTTTGCAAGCGCCCGACAAAGGCTACTCTTACCTGTGTTTTGATTCCCAACGACAAGAACACGAGGCCCTTGTGGACCTTTGTCATGAAATTCGCGCGGCAAATCGTTGCTAATGGTGGCGTCGGCCCGTGCAAGATCCAATAAGGCGTGTATATCATCAATGGCGGAGCTCATTAGACAAATCTTAGCCGTAAATTCCCCCTCCACATGCACACGACATGACAATGAACACACCACCGGTATGCCGCACCAAGAGAAATTATAACGAAGGTTTCGCTTCAGTGGCGCGCCATAAACAGTTGCGTCTCCATCCACAAGAACAATGCACCCCGACCCTTTAAAGTGGATATTCAACTCACTACGCTCCAGTTCATAATGCGCATGTTGAATGCCTCGCGCCATCCGTTGGCCGTCGTCTCCCCCTCCACCGCCAATACCCTCACTTCTGCAAAGAGTAAAGAGAATTTGCACCAAATATAAATGCAAACAGGCAAAAAAAAAAAAAAAAAAAGAAAAGAAAAGAAGGAAACAATAAAAGAAAAACAAGGGACGCTACAGCACATGAGTGCACGTCAACATCTATAATTCCCCTCACCACCTCTCAAAACAATATATATATATATTTATATATTCTCCCTTTTCTTCCAAGTTCAGCCCAATGATGCAATCACCACCGGAAACTTTGTCGCAGAGTTGCTTCACGAAAGCAGCTTCAGTTTTCCAGTAATGGGGTCCAATAGCGCAGACGGCGCCGGGCCAACAGCCACCAGCACTCCCATCTGCTCCCCAGCGTCTGCTTCGTCCAGGGGTGAGGATAATGACGTGGCGCCATACCACGGAAGCCCATTTGCTTCCGCCGCAAGTGCGACCCCTCGAAGTGTACGACTATCAGGAGATCGAAGCGCGATTTTGGCACACCCCACACGTCTCCACCATTCATACCATGACCTCCACTCCCTGTGCTCAGCGTCACGTCGTACTTTCTGCACCAAGCTTACGGCAGCGCCGGCGGAGAGGGTAAAGATCTCGTTGGGACTCACTTCCTTCACGTCTCGACGAATGACCAGCACCATTTTTAGACGAAGATCCTCAATACGCTCAAACTCACTGCTGCAATCTGAGGTGTCTTCTTCCTCTTCCTCTTCATCATCCTCCGTACTCCATTCTTCTTCCTGCCCGTCTCGTGGAGTGGAAGACGGCACCTGCGTGTGCTGCGGCAATGCGGCCTGATGTTTACTCCCCCACAGCACCTGCCGCTCCCTTTCAAGTGAACAAGGAGGAATTTGCCCTCCCCGTAAAGACATTCCAAGTCGACGAAGGAACAGGTCGACAGCAATAACCATGATGCAACCAAGAAAAAAGCCAAACAAGCTATGCTTCACCGTTCCCGCAACATCGCCAATCGTCTGCGCCTCTTCGCTTGTGTACATTCGGTTCCCTCCAACCAGGTAAGGCGAATCATAAAACTAAAAGAACAATAAAAAACAAAGAAATCAACAAGAATTACTCCATCATCATTTTCTCTTCGGCAACTCCCCAGTAAAAGGGCCGGTCGAAACCAAGAGGCCGAATGCACAGTGAAGTAATTCTTACTGATTGTCTTTCTACCAGTAAGCACACCTTCAAACAGTAGACAACAACAACAACAAAAACAAAACGACATATTTTAAGGACGTCTCGTGGCATGTGTTAAGCCAAAGTGGCATGTTACACCTAATGCAAGAATGTCATTGTGAGTAAATACACATACACACACACACACACACACACACACACATTAAATATACAAATATGAAAAGGAGCCACTCCATTTTTCCCATCACAAAAAAAAAAAAAAAAAAAAAAAAACAACCCACCCGCCAACCAAGAACAATAACCGCGCAGAAGACTCACCTCTCCAAGTCAAAGCATTTCCATCTATTCACACAATGCCTTCGCCAGGGGCTGCATAACGACGTCTCATTGTGATACCCAACGAGGTCTCGTTTACGGGACGAACATGACCCCGTAAGACAGCTCCCGAATCTACAGCAATTTTTGAACGTCGACGAGGCAACCGATAATCACCTTCACCTCTCCAGTTGGGCTCCGATACACTAGGCATCTCACTCTGATAATGTGACGTTACTGAAGCACGAATGACATTCGTCGCAGATGCGGCCCTGTTTCCAACTGCTACATGTGGAGTTGAATAATTCCCTGCCAGCCTTCGAGGTGCTGAGCGAACGTTGCGTCTATTCCCCATTTCTGATAGTTGGCGCCTCCTTGTCGATTGTGGTGGCTTTACCAAAGGAGAACCACCAGTGAATGTTGGCCGTTCCGTTATGTTTGCGCTATTGACGGAACTTCTTCTTGATGATGACATTCGCTTATTAGTCCTGCCGGTGATATTCCCGTTTGTTGGAATCCCGACAATGGCCTTTGCGATAGGCAAAACTGCCTCTTTCTTTCTAGAAGAAGTGCTGGAGAGCAAATGATCCTCATTCACATCATTCAAATCACGCTGTGGCGTCGAAATACGTTCACTTTCCCCTCTTTTGGACGGTAAAACGGGTAAAACTGCCCTTCGCTGTAGATCAGGCCGCCGTGCTCTGGGGGAAGGGCTCGGATGCATTACTGTCGCACGATCATACATCGAGTCATCACCGCGTGGACTTGGCCCCTTCGTTGCTGAAGGACTGTAAGGCTTAAAACGAGGAGTCCCATGCAGTGAGGGCGGCGTACCGTGTGGCGCGCTTCCTGTGTCTACAGAAGGGTATTTTGCACGCTTGCTTGAGATCGTTGCTGATCGCATCAACATGGAGAGAATTGCATCGCGTCTCATGTGTCTTGCTTCCTCTTCCATTTTGCGGTTTCGAGCATCACGCTGTAAACCTATATCTAATGTTTCCGTGACAACATCTATTATGGCCTGTTTCCGTCCGACAAACCGCCTTCTACTCTCCTCCGTCTCTAATGTGACGTTCCTGAGAATTTTGCTCGGGTAAAGCGTTTCCATAAACTTTACACGCCGCCGCGGAACCTCCACTTCGTCCGGCTCCACCTCGTTGTGGCGAAGTACAACTCGGCTGCCACCTTCCTTCCCCTTTTCTCTGCGAAAGCTCTGAAGAATGTGCTGCTCCTGGTGTAGTTTTTGCCTATGCAAGGCAACCTCGTCTACCAACTCATTTGCGCCATCCCCCCCGTCAACAGGAGCCGCAGGAGCCGCATAACCTTCAACCAGAGACCTTCTTCGATCGCTTTGCCTTTTTACATGGGTATCGCCAAAAGTTGCTATGAGATCACGCCTTACACCATTCATGGGGCCCCTTTTAATGCGCTCAATCGTCTCGCTGATGCGCATCTCCACAATATCTTTCTGCAGCACATCCCCGTTACCATCACGAGAGACATTTAGTTTTGAGAAAGCCGAATACAACAGCCATTCCAAATCTCTAACTAACTCCTCATGCGTTATGGACGCCGTGTTCTCCGCAAACAACAACCAGTCACCAATCGCCCAACGCGACGAGTGACTTATTTCAACGGTGCCAGGACGAAGGGCAAGCTGTCGTAGGATGGCGTTCAGAGTTAAATTGCGGTGCGGTGGCAATCGTACGCTCTCCAAGGCGTACTCCTCGACGCAGCTAAGAATTTCCTTAAAGTCAGCATCCTCCAAAAGCCGACAACCGGATCGAATCATGTCGCCCAAAGAAAGACCCGCAAACGATGAGACTGAGATAACAAAGTACTCTTTGCTTGCCGCTAATTCTTGTACGTAGGCATCAATGGGAAGCAAAACAGATGGCAACATGTTCCTACGCTGTGAAGCCGCAACCAATGCATCCAATCGCTGCTGCTGCATACCCAATGCTCTCTCAATCTCTTTCTTGGATCCCGACACCTTCAAAGGAAGACAACGCACTTCGTACACGCATCCCGTAAATTTGTCCTGGGCGCTGTATCGAGCCCCGTTGGAGCTTTCCTCCGCATCACTTATGCAGTTGCATAGTGTAAGCACAGGAAAGAGCTCGGCCTTGTCGCGCAACTGCAAGACGGGAAGCGAGAATGATCCCATGCGTCCAGCTGTGGAGCTCTTTACGAGCAAAAAAAAAAAAAAAAAAAAAAAAAAAAGGAGGTGCACGAATCCACAACCAAAGAAAAAAGAACAAAAAATCCAGTTATTTGGCAAGAAGACTCACATTGCCAGCAGAGATGATTCAACGCCACAGGCAGCGACAATTGTAAACGGGGTGGTGGGGTGAATGACAGGAAATTCTAAGATAAACACAAAGAAATTTGAAAAGGGGGAGGTCTGTTTGTGAAGAAAACGCCCGACCGAGTCCGAAGAAAGAAAAAAAAAAAAAAAAAAAAGGAAAGAAGAAGAGCCAAAAACTCCCTCTCCCCTTTTTTTCTCATGTACTCAACAAAAATAATCCCTTTTATTTGTCACAGCGTCTTCTCCTCTTTCTCTCCACATTTGTGTGTGTGTGTGTTCCCCCGCACCAGTGCACATCCGCTTCACAGTGCAGGCAGAGCAGAAGGAGTCAGTCATGGCCCCTCCCCCCCAAGGACACACACACACACAAATGTAGAAAGCATAAGAGGGTGAAGAAAAAAAAGCGAAAAAAAACATAAAGGGGAAGACAAATGCCGGACAGGGAGGCTCCCACCACCAATCCTCCAAAGACACAACGACAACAACAGCAGCAGCAGCAACGGAAGAATAAAACCGTCAGAGCCAACCTTGCTTCCAAATAATACTACAGCGACACTATTCGGGCAAGACACATGGAAAAAAAAATATAGGGAGTAATGCACACGCAAAAACACACGGGACAATAGACTCCGTCCAATTCAATAGACCAAACTCTGCAAACCCCGTGCATTTCAAGGCGAGAAAAGAAAACACAACAAAGATTGAATATTGGAAAATCGCGTTTCAACCTGTGTTGTGCGCATTCCAATCGGGGACAGAAAGCATCTCATTGGGAAAAATGTCCCTGGAGGCGACAAGTGCTATATCTGTTCCATTTTCATTGATGACGACAGTACAATTTGCCTCTGATGCTTCCACATGACGGATCGCCCCCATAACTTTTGGAAGGTAATAAAGCATACTTTCCGCTTCACGCACTTTCACGGCAACAGCAAACGTACGCACGTACTCATACAATGCGTAGAATAAAGCAGATGAGTACGTTTGCTTGTCCTTATCTGAGAAGAAGACGGTAAGTGTATTATACAGTACATACATCTTGTCCCGGGCACTGGGACTTAGTTGATCCGTTGGAAGTGGATACACGCCTAGATGCTTAAGCGCGGCTTGAAGTGGTAAAAACTCTGTCTTGTCTGATGCAGCGCTTTGATCGCTCTCTTCACCTGAGACATTGGAATTACTAACATCGTTGAGGCGTCTTTGGGATCGACGAATAGACAAAAGTCGATCATGCGTAACACATATCATCAAGAAGAGTCGTGTCGCCATGTAAGTCAAGTCTAAAGACACCTGATTCACTCTTTGTGGGAGGGTGCAAGAAATGAGGTCCCGTGCCCGTTCCACGGCTACGCGATGGCGACCAAGTTCCATGACAAAAAAAAGCGATGACCGCTGCTGACACTCTACACTACAGTAACAGGCCAATTCCTCAGAGGAATTCCCATCTAAATCCACAGGAACACGCATCATTTTTCCTTCAGTTTTCAGACACACACAACATCGACCAGAGGGGGTTGAAAAGATCGACTCCATCGCAAAAATTACTTGGTCACCTTTATACACAATCTCATCTTTTTTAAACCGACGAGAAGAGACCAGCCTTTTGGCGTATTGGGAATCCAAAAATAAATCTAGGTCGTTGCGTGGTAACCCCATTTGCAAACTGAGCATAAATGAATTTAATTCCCCAATCTTGTGCAGCTCATGACTGTGAGGCAAAAGCAACATGGCACGATGAATCTGCTGCGCAGCCTTCTCAAATTTGCAGAGTCCACTAAAAGCCCGGGCAGCTGCAAGATTCCCCTTTACCCAGCGCGGCTCCTCCTCAATCGCCTCCAGTGCGTCCTTGAGGCCCTCCTCGTAGCGACCCAAAAAAATATTTGCGCGCGAACGCAAAACTAAGATGTCTACACGGTTAACCGCATTTAAAGGCAGCTTGTCCAACAACTTCAACGCCTCTTCGTATGCGCCCTCGCTAAGGCTTTTCTGGACAGCCGCTAACTGGGGCAGGGATTGCGGCACCTGGACCTCCATCACTGAGAGAGATTCATAAAATTGCCGATTAACCTTCGGAGCTGCGGCGTCCTCGCGGAAACGTACCGCCCGCGGGTCAAGGTTGCCGAGACCAAAACAAGATTGAATAAGGCGGTTACTTCCGCCTGGCGATCGGTTGTATGATTCAACAGGAACATTCGAGAGGCAAATACGAGGAAGGCTCAGACCGTAGTTCATCTCAAGATGTTCATCGTAAAAGGACACAAGCGTCACGTTAACAGAGTGCCGAACGACTGTGCCACAAAGTCTACCATTACATACGGCGCGGTAGGAGTCATCCCAGTGCTCCCGTAACAAAAGGTGGACGTCGTCCTCATCCACAACCCACACATGACAGCCGGTCGGGAGATTCTCAGCCGATAGCCGTGGCAGCTCCGGCTTTTGTGTCGTCGTCAACGAGACAACAGGCTCTGGAAGGTAAAGCTGTTTTTCATCATCTCCACCCAGTAAACCTCCTCCCTCCTCATCTCCAAGAATGCCGTTGATGCGAAAATCTCTAGTTACTGTTCCCCATTCCGATTCATCGGAGCTGCTGTCTCGCCCACTTCCATTCCGGTCCAATTCTTCTTCGTCGCTCCAAGACGGGTCAGCTGGCGGCGGTTTCTGCATGATCCCTTGCAACTAGCACTAGTATTGTTGTTTTCACCCTCCCTCCTTTCCACTCTCCATATAAAACAAAGAACCAAAACAAAATAATAATAATAATAATAATAATAATAATAATAATAATATATTAGCAGGAAAATAAAGGGCACACCAGTGTCCTATTCTCCTTCGCACGCCTCGACTTTTGACCACCCACCCCCTCTCCCTTCCAGTTTTTGTGTTTTTATTCTTCCTTCGCTTTCCTTATCCTTCCTTTTTTTTTTCTTTTCTTTTCTTTCCTGCCAAAAAAAAAAGAAAAAAAAAAAAAAAAACCAATAGAACTTAAGCGCATGTTGTGGGGAAAGAGAAAACAACAATAATAATAATAAAGAGTGAAAATTCAAGGAAAAAACAAACAATGATATGTAGACACGGAAAAAGTTACAACAACACATTTCCAGAGAATGACACTCCACAAATGCAACAGAAACAAAAAAAGATTTGTGTGTGCGTGTATGTATGTAATGTAAACTGCGTGTGACAAAACTATCCACCCGAAATCACGTAAAAATGTTCTCGGGGCGGCCGAATCTCCCTGAAGTGTTTTTCAGGTGTGGGCGGCACAACAGGATCCGTCTCCTGCTTCCTCTGACTGGCCACGAGAAAAACTATGGCGGCAGCAGCGACAGATGTCTCTAGAGCGTCTCGATTTTCTTTATAAACCTCAAGGAGCTCCTCCCGTTTCTGCTCAACAGAGGAATAAAAGTCGGCGCGAATGCTTCGATGTTTGCCCCACGCAAATGTGCGCTGGTACGTGAAATATAACACCACAAATGCTAGGAGAAAGTAGAACCGCAATGCTGCTGGATTTCGCGAGGGAAGATCGGCACTGTCACTCATTCGATCCGCCACACGCTGAAGGATTGACTTTGAATTTTCCTCCTTTTCCTTTTCAATCGACCTGCGACGCAATTCTTCCGACATATCAGCCTGGGCTGCATATGAGGCATACCTTGGCTGGTGTGCACGCACCAGCGGTCTGTCTAGCTCTGTCCAACTCCCATCATCACGGCTCTGATACATGTAAGTTCCAGTCGGTGTAACCCTTTCCGTGGTCGGATCTAGCGCACTCAACTTGGCAACTTCTTCCTCTGAAAGTGCCTCATACGGGGTTTCCTTCTCTTCTCGCTGTTGCGGCTGCCGCTCAGACTCCTGGGAAAAAGGGCTTGGACGACGCACGTCGGCACGTGCCTTTACCCCGGACGACTTCATACGCATCCGTTCATACGCACCCTCCTTAATCAACATGTTATACGCCTTGTTCACCTGCTCCATCTTCTCGCTGTTACCCGCGGGAGCATCCGGGTGATGTAAACGCGCGAGCTCACGAAAGCGCGTCTTGATCTCGGCTTTTGTGGAACTACGACTGAGCCCCAGCACCGCAAATGGATCAAGTGCCAGAATCCGCAGTGAACGTCGCATCGCTCCCTCCGCAGGGCCAGACAATAAAAATGCACCCGAACGTTACAAGAGCCAGACGCTCAAATTACCGACGCAACTCCAAGTGAAACGAGTAAAACAACAAACCCAACGCCGGGAAAAGCGTGAACTCCCAAAGGAGGTTCTCCAGGGCTACAGTCTCACAAAAAATCGTCCACAGAGCCGATCTGACGACGTCAACACTGTGCCTTTGGTGAGAAATAAAATTACAGACAAGTAAAAAAAACATGCGCATAACATCGAACAGTAATGGCAGACCACAACAACAGCAAAAAGAAAATGACATGACACAAGTCAATGCCATCAGAAGTACTTTATAAGGAAGCATCCACAAAAAAAGAAATAAAAACTGCAGTCGGAAAGACAAATGTCAATAATAATAATAATAGTAATAATAATAATAATAATAACAATAATAATAATAATAATAATAAATAACTGTTAAGAAGTCCTTCAAAATATCACAAATCAAAATACTGACTGCATGACACCATCTATTGCGAATTAGGAAGGCTCCTTTATCATCGACTGCAGCAATCATTAAAATTAAATCTTTCCTTACAAAAAATGTTTTAAAAACACGGACCTTCCAACTACGGAAGCATACCATTCACAGCACTGCTCCCATGTCAAAAGACAAAAAATATTCTGCACTCCTATTCTTACTGCTTCTGCTGATCACCCTTCTGCTGTTGTTCGCCCTGACTGCTGTCAGTGTTGCCGCTGGAGCTGCTGCTGTTCGCCGCGGCGGCCTGCTGATATTCCGTGCGGCCGCATTCCATAACCGCCTTCTGAAACTTGTCCGTTGCCGCCGAAAGCTCGTCCTTCGTCACGTTGGGGTTCTCCATGGACTTGCGGAGCTCCGCGAGCAGCGTGCGCACATTCTCCTTCTCGGCATCGCTCACGTACTTCCACTCTGTCAGCTGGCGCTCCGCCGTGTTCGCCTGCGTCTCGGCATTGTTGCGCACCTCCACCAACTCGCGCTTCAGGCGGTCCGACTCCGCGTGCGACTCGGAGTCACGGATCATCTGTTCAATCTGTTCCTTGCTCAGGCCGCCACTCGCCGTGATGGTGATGTTCTGCGTCTTCCCGGTCGCCTTGTCCTTCACCGTCACGTGACAGATGCCGTTGGCGTCAATGTCAAACGTCACCTCGATCTGCGGCACGCCGC